TACATAAATAAAATCTTAAAAAAAAAAAAAACCTTACCATGTCTTACACTCCCAATATATTTTTTATTGTCAGTTATACCTCAGTAAGGATGTTTTTTGTTTTTTGTTTTTTTTAAAGATTTTATTTATTTGGCAGAGATAGCGAGAGCAGGAACACAAGCAGGGGGAATGGGAGAGGGAGAAGCAGGCTTCCCGCTGAACAGGGAGCCCGATGTGGGACTCGATCCCAGGACTCGGATCGTGACCTGAGCCGAAGGCAGACACTTAACGACTGAGCCACCCAGGCGCCCTGTAAGGATGTTTTTAATGTGGAAATAAAGACCACAAAATGAGAATGGGTGAAGTCCATTTAATCAGAGCTTGTCATAGCAGGGGAGTTAGCCGCCATCACTTGCATTGGCAAAAACTCAAAGGCAGGTAGACCAGTGGGAAGCTTTATAGTGGAAGAAAGGGAAAACTTTCAGATATGTCCTGATACGGGGTTATTGGCATGGGAAAGCTATAGGCAGCCTAACTACAAGTGGGGGCATCCTATGTAGTAGTTGTTTAGGGATATATATTTGGTTTTCTGTGGTTGGTCCTAAGTTGGAAGCAGAGACAAAAATTAGGGGAACTGTCAGTTATTACTCAAGTCTTGACTGTTTGGGGTCAATTTTTAGAGGGGTTATTGTTTGGCTTCCTGGACTAGTTAGTTGCTAGAGATAGTCTGACTTCCTTGACTGGTTACTGTAGATAGTATGTTGGCTTCTTGGGCTAGATAATGGAGATATTAGTTTGGCTTCCTTCCTTGGCTGGTTCCTGCAGGTTGTGGGTCAGAGCTCTATTTTTATATAGTAGTCTGGCCTTTGTCCATTAGTATATTCAGATTCTCATGAAAAGAAACAGATGCCATAAGAAAGGCAAGACGACACAAACTGGGAGAAGATATTTATAGTGCATATCCAACAAAGTACCTATATCCACTATATATGTTTTAGAAACTTCTACAATTCAGTAAAAAAAGATAACTTAATTTTTTAAATGGGCGAAAGGCTTGAACTAGTACTTCATTAAAGAGGACTTCCAAATATCTAGTAAGTATATGGAAAGGTGCTGATAGGGGAAATTCAGTGATTATTTAATCACTAATTTAATCATTAACCATTTAATACAGATTAAATGAGATACTACCATACCCCTGCCAGAATGGCTAAAAGTAAAGAATTAGTAGTACCAAGTAATGGTATAGCTGTGGAGCAGCTGGAGCCATCATATGCTGTTGATGGGAGTGTACATTGGTACAGATTCTGGAAAACTGTCCGTTGTCTATTAAAACTACGTATACTTTGTGACCCAACATAACATTGCTGGGTTTACATCTGATGGCAAGGAATGTTTATGTCCACCAAAAGCCTTGTGTAAAAATATAATAGCCAAAACCAGGAAACAACCCAAATGTTTATCTGCTTGGAATTTATAAATAGTTTGTGGTAGGGGCACCTGGGTGGCTCAGTTGTTAAGCCTCTGCCTACGGCTCAGGTCATGATCCCAGGGTCCTGAGATCGAGCCCCGCATCGGGCTCCCTACTCTGTGGGAAGTCGGCTTCTCCCTCTCCCACTCCCCCTGCTTGTGTTCCCTCTCTCGCTGTGTGTGTGTGTCTCTCTCTCTGTCAAATAAATAAAAATTGTAAAAAAAAAAATAGTTGTGGTATATTCATAAAGTGGAGCGCTACATAGCAATGAAAAAGAATAAAGTGCCACATGCAGCATCATAAATAATTTTCACAGGCATGACTTGATTAAAGGAAGCTACCCACAAAAGAGCTAATACTGTTTGATTCCATTTATATAAATGGAATGATTTGTCAAAATAGATAAAACTGATCTATGATGATAGAGGTCAGAATAATGGTTACTTTTTAGTGCGTTTACTGACTGAGGGCACACAAGGGAGCCCTCTAGATTATTGGAAATGTTCTGTAACTTGATCTGAATTGTGGTTATATGGTTGTATACAAACAAAATATCTTTTGAAATAGAAATGAAAACAATAAGATATTTATTGAGCTGTATACCCAAGATTTGTGCATTTTACTACATGTAAGTTATACCCCATTTTTATTTATTTTTATTTTTTATATTTTTGTACTTTCAAGTTTTTATTTAAATTCCAGTTAGTTAACATATAGTGTAATATTAGCTACAGGAGTAGAATTTAGTGATTCATCACTTATATATAACACCCAGTGCTCATCACAAGTGCCTTCTTTGATACTCATCACCCCTTTAGCCCATCCCCCATCTACGTCTCTTCCAGCAACCCTCAGTTCGTTCTCTGTAGTTCTGTTTTATGGTTTGCCTTGGTCTTTTTTCCCCCATGTTCATCTGTTTCGTTTCTTAAATTCTTCATGAGTGAAATCATATGGTATCTGTCTTTCTTTGACTGACTTATTTCACTTAGCATAATACACTCTAGTTCCATCCACATCATTGCAAATGGCAAGATTTCAGTCTTTTTTTTTTTTTCCGTCAGAGAGAGAGAGAGCACAGCAGGCGTAGGGAGAGGGAGAGGCAGGCTCCCCCCTGAGCAAGGAGCCTGATGTGGTACTCGATCCCAGGACCCTGTGATCATGACCTGAGGCAAGGCAGACACCTAACCATCTGAGCCACCCAAGTGTCCCACAAGATTTCCTTTTTGATGGCTGAGCAATATTCCATTGTGTGTGTGTGTGTATACATCACAAGTTCTTTATCCATTAGGACATTTGGGCTCTTTCCATAATTTGGCTATTGTTGATAGTGCTGCTATAAACATTGGGGTGTATGTATCCCTTTGAATCAGTATTTTTGTATCTTTTGGGTGAATCCCTAGTAGTACAATTGCTGGATCATGGGGTAGTTCTATTTTTAACTTTTTGAGGAACCTCCATAGTGTTTTCAAGAGCGGCTGCAGCAATTTGCATTCCTACCAACAGTGTAAGAGTGTTCCCACTTCTCCACATTCTCACCAACACCTGTTAAGTTTTTTGTGTTGTTGATGTTAGCCATTATGACAGGTGTGAGGTAATATCTCATTGTAGGTTTGGTTTGTATTTCCTTGATGATGAGTGAAGTTGAGCAATTTTTCATGTGTCTGTTGGCCATCTGTATGTCTTCTTTGGAAAAATGTCTATTCATATCTTTTGCCCATTTCTTAACTGGATTATTTGTGTTTATTATTTGTGTTTATTATTATTTATTTGGGTGTTGAGTTTGATAAGTTCTTTATAGATTTTGGATACTAACCCTTTATCATATATGCCATTTGCAAATATCTTCTCCCATTCCTAGGTTGCCTTTTAGTTTGATTTTTTCCTTTGTGATGCAGATTTTTATCTTGATGAAGTCCCAGTAGTTCATTTTTGCTTTTGTTTCCCTTGCCTCGCCTCGCCTTACCTTGGGAGACATATCTAGTAAGAAGTTGCAATGGCTGATGTCAAAGAGGTTGCTGCCTGTGTTCTCTAGGATTTTGATGGTTTCCTGTTTCACATTTAGGTCTTTCATCCATTTTGAATTTATTTTTGTGTATGGTATTATATCTCAATTTTAAAAATTTCCTGTTTCAACTGTCTTCTGTTTATATCTTTCCTTAAAACTAGCTTCCTATTTATTGTTAACTGAAATCTTGTTAAACTTTTTGTAGTTGGTCCTTAAATCCCGTCAGCTCTTCCTTTAAAGTATCTCCCATCCATACTATTTCCAAACCATGACTGTACTAGAGTTTGAGCCTTGACCACAAACCTGCATTATTGCCAAGGACTTAACTGGTCTCCCTGCTTTTCATACTCAAAACTGTTCTACAATATGCCAGCAAAGCTATCTTTCTAAAGCACCATTCAGATGATGCTAGCACTCTGATTGTGTTAATTCCTTTACTTAGAAGTCTTGAGGGAACTCCCATTTCTGTTGTATTAGGTACAGATCAGGCTTGCATGCATTCAAGATTCTCATGATCTGGCCCCAACCAGCCATACTATTTCCCTATCCATACATAGTCCTTTAGAAAACTGGGATACTTAATAGTTCCAAATCCATTTTGTTCTCTGTTGCTGATACTCTTTGTTCATGTTCTTCTCTCCCTAAATGCTTTATCTTCCTCATACCAGCCGTATCTGAAATCATTTCATCCTGAGGGGCTATGATGTGCTCCATGAAATCCATGGGATATAACCTGAGTTATAGGCAAACATTTCTATATATGTGCATTTTTCTAGAGAAAGGGCTTGTCTTGTTATCAGATTCTCAAAAGGGGTCCATGAATCCCCCAAAGTTAAATTGATTTAGTGCTCTCCTGAAGGAATACAAATGATCTCATTTTATGTTTTTTTTAAGATTTTATTTATTTATTTGAGAGAGAGCAAGAGTGTGCGCCGGGGGTGGGGGGGCAGAGGGAGAAAAAAAAATCCCTGGCAGACTCCCAGCTCTTGTGGAGCCCAATACAGAGCTCAGTCTCACCACCCTAAGATCGTGACCTGAGCCAAAATCAAGAGTCCGACGCTTAACCGACTGAGCCACCCAGGTGCCCCTCATTTTATGTTGTAACAGAGTTTTTGTCTTGTTAAAATTTAGTCCTCACTATGGTGGGTAGTAGAACTATTTTTAATAGATAAGTTATATTTAAAGCTTAAAGTTTCAGATGCAGGTAAAATGGCTTGTCTTCATCCATTATTTAGGTCCCTAGGTCTTTTCTTCTGTGTGTGTGTGTGTGTGTGTGTGTGTGTGTGTGTGTGTGTGTTAAGGAAATATTCTTTTATTTCCATTCCAGAATGGGAATTACATTTTACAGCCTAGATTTCAGTTCTTTGTGGTGAGCAATTTATTTTCCTCAAAAGATACTATCTTAATATTTTTCACTTTGGTATCTTAGGGGGAATTTTTTTTCCCTCCCACATGACTGCACAGCTAGACAATACCATCTCTGTATGCTTTGAATTTAAAAGATATTAGTCACATTTTTCAACACTTTTTTTTTTTCTGTTTTAGATTCCTATAGGCAATGGAAACTGATCTCAATTCCCAGGACAGAAAGGACCTGGACAAGTTTATTAAATTTTTTGCCCTCAAGGTAATTTATTCTCTTGAGCTCAGAACTGTTAGAAATAACTTCCGTGCTTCTCCCTTTTTGGAAATATAGAATAACAGCTTGCAGCTTGCCCATTTTAAGGGATACTTCTGTCTGTTGTAAACCAAACTGTGAAGTTTGGGGGCGGTACTGGGGGTGTAACTAAAAAGTAGCTTCCAATTTTCCACAGCTACTTGTTCAAAAAAAATTTTTTTTTGCAAGGCTGTTTGCAGAAATGTCAAACTATTATGCCAGGTTATTGGCACAGTATGTTCCCTTGGGGTGGGAACAAAGATTGTGAACTGGAATGGACAGCATTTTGGGCATCTTTCCCAAAGCATCAACTAACTCTGAAATGTCTAACTTCCATTTATTTTTCCTTTCTGGGTAAATGAGGAATTAAAACTGAATTTTGAATACCTTAGAAGTTATATTTTCTTAAATCTAAAAATCATTTCCACCTCTATCACTCCTTCTTCTCATGATTGCCATGTAAAAAACAATCCATGCAGTAGATTCTGGTTGTAAAATTAGTTGGAAGACTTTTGCCATATGGGCCAAATGATATAAATAAGTGTGGAATCCTTGGTTTAAATCTACTATGATTACATAAGTGTACGGCAGTGAATATTTAAACCTACGGTTGGACTTGTCTTTATGAAAGTCAGAGCCACCATGTGCAAATTTCCTTCTGCCATGTGAGAATATTACAGATCCCAAGCCTTAAACTAAAATTCCTCTAATCAGTTGACATTATGCCCTCGGTAATATTTACAGTATTATTTTTGTGTCATTTTTTTTTGTTATATGTTCTTGAATTTTAAAATCCTATCCTTTCCTAAAGTGTTGTTATGATCATTGGCATCTTTTTAACCCTGCATTCAGAAGGTGTTAACCCTGATTGTGAGTCAAATCAATTTAAGACTGTTCATCTTTGATTTTTTTGTTTGTTTATCTCCTTTTTTTAGACTGTCCAAGTGATTGTCCAGGCTCGACTTGGCGAGAAGATTTGTACTCGTTCATCTTCATCCCCAACGGGTTCAGATTGGGTAAAATTCCTGTTTTTTGTTAAGGCATGTTTGTCATAAGGAATCGTACATAGTGCAGTTGTAAAGAATACAATTTATACTATTACTAAATCATAACATTAATATATCTAATTCCATTTGATTCATTCACTTGGAAAGTATGTTCTTCATCGAATGTTCATCCTAGGTTTGATTCTCATCTCTCTTCTGCAATAGGTGAAAAACTTAGTCTTTAGAAAAATACCTTGTTAACTAATCTTTATAATAAGTCATTAGCTCTTTCATCCTGAGTTTTGGGGCTTTGAATCAGGATATCTTTTCTGGGCAAGGGAGAAATGAATGAATGTCCTTAATTACTCAAGGCAATGCCTGCATTAGCCAGCATAACCATCTCACTGCTTTATGTTGCTGTGATGTTCCTTGTAAGTGTTTAACACAAAGTCCCTTTTGTTTTCTAGTTCAATTTAGCAATCAAAGACATCCCAGAGGTTACACATGAAGCAAAAAAGGCCCTGGCAGGACAGTTGCCTGCCGTTGGGAGATCGATGTGCGTGGAGATCTCACTCAAGACTTCTGAGGTAAGGCTGTGGCCAGGATGGTGTCTTCATTTGGCATTCAAAGCTCTTCACACCCTGCTTCCACCTCAGCCTCATTCCTGCCTCTTCACTCTCTGAGCGTAGCGCTCTCTGAGGAGGTCAGATTTTTGTATTTATCCTCCCAAACACTTGGAATAGGCTCTTTGTCCTCCTTATACATCAACTATATGTGAAATAGTTCTACTTATCCTTCAAGACTCATGTGCTCTTGAAAATTCACCCCCTTTCTAGGGGGAGAGGTAACTACCTTCTTTAGACTTACCATGTGCTTTGTTTACATTGTTTCTAAAATATAACTTGATGTATTGTGATTTTTTTTTTTAGATGTGTTGTTACTTATTTCACATCAGGATCAAGGCATATATTGTTACTTGTGTGTTTATTAATTTATTTCCACTAGAAGATTGTGAAGCTGCGTGGTATAATAAAAGGCAGTTGGAGTTTGGAGCTATACAGACCCAAGTTCAGATCCCAGCTGAGTGACTTTGGCCAAATTACTTAACCCCACCCGCACCAACACCACCAAACTAACATGACACTTCATAGTCTTGAAGGGTTTTATATTTTCTCATTTAATCCTTATTTGTGAAGTGCCTAACATAACTTATACGTGTTCCTGTTCATACTTTGCACTTTCATTCTTGAGGTCAGCAGTCATGCCACATCTTATTTATTTTTGTAGTTCTTCAAATTCTTTTTGAAATGAGGCAGGATATGAATAGATAATCATCTTTTGTGCCTGGTACATTGCCCGGGATGGCACATAGTATGTTCTTGATGAATCTTGTTGAATGAATGATGTCAGTACTTATTCCATGGAAACCTTAGCACCCCAAAATACAAAACTTCCTATTCTTCTTTATTGTATTGCCAGTTTATACTATGAATTATTTTCCTTAGTGATCCGTAGGGAGTCCTAAAGGAATCCCTAGAAGAACTCTTCCCTTTCCCAGGTGAGATCTGAGTATAAAATGTTCCGATTGTCCTAGACAAACTGCACCAACTTGTCTTGGATACTTCCTACTATTCATCCTCCCTTGATTTGGGGGACCAGGGGGAATTCAAAATTTATCATGTCATTTAAAAATGACAGTATGATGGGGGCGCCTGGGTGGCCCAGTCGTTAAGCGTCTGCCTTCGGCTCAGGTCATGATCCCGGGGTCCTGGGATCGAGCCCCGCATCAGGCTCCCTGTTCGGCGGGAAGCCTGCTTCTCCCTCTCCCACTCCCCCTGCTTGTGTTCCCTCTCTCGCTGTGTCTCTCTCTGTCAAATAAATAAATAAAAATCTTAAAAAAAAAAAAATGACAGTATGATGGGGGCGCCTGGGTGGCTCAGTTGGTTAAGCGACTGCCTTTGGCACAGGTCATGATCCTGGAGTCCCGGGATCAAGTCCCGCATTGGGGGGGGGGTCCCTGCTCAGCAGGGAGTCTGCTTCTCCCTCTGACCCTCCCCCCTCTCATGTGCTCTCTCTCTCTCATTCTCTCTCTCAAATAAATAAAATCTTTAAAAAAATTTTTAAAAATTATTTTTAAAAATGACAGTATGATGAAAAAGATATATTAAGGATACATACTTAACTTTGATCTAGAACAAGTAAGTTCTGTATTCCACAAACTAACCCAAGTTTACTCCAGAATCTAAAAGAATAGCCCTCTTCCAATTGATTGGTAATAAGGTTACTTGTGTTCAAAAGTATGACTACCCTTCTTACTAAGTGGCACATAGGAGTGTTACAGGGTTGAGGGATTCTGGCTTTAGTTTCTGTTTTTCTTTCCCACCCACTAGACTAAGTCTGTTCAGAGTACCAGAGAAAGACTGAACAGTTTGGCTAAAGACATTACACAGCTAAAAAGATTTTTAAGTGAGGAGCTTGTTAAGGTATTCCTTAACAGTGGGTGTCACCTAAAAATATCCCTTCTAGAATTGGAGGGAAAGGCTCTCTCCATCTGAAGTATTGGCCTTTCTGAAGAGCAGTTTGGATATACATAGCAAAAGTCTTAGAAGCATAAGTACTGTTCATCTAACAATGCTAATTCTGGAAATTTGTCTTAAGAAATTAATTTAGGGCGAGGACAAAGTTTTAACCTCAAAGCTATTTATCACAATGTTGTTTGTAGTGGTGAAAAATTAGAAATGACCTATATGTCCACAGATTGGAAGACTGATCCATGAAATGATGGTCGTATGGTAGAATACTATGCAACCATTAAAAATGGTGTAGAATTTTATAAGGAAAACTTAATGTTGTGTTTATTAATGAAAAAGTGATAAAAACAACATATAGTATAATCTCACATTTTAAAAAAATCTTTTTAAGTTTATTTATTTAGGTAATGTCTACACACAACATGGGGCTTAACTCATGACCTCGAGATCAAGAGCTGCATGCTCTTCTGTCTGAACCAGCCAGGCACCCCTCACATTATTTATTAAAGTGGCTGATTAGGATTATAAATGGATTTTTTTCTTTATTTATATTTTCCAATATTTTTATAGTGACTGTATCATGCTTTATAATAAAAGAAATAATTAAAACAAATAAAACTGAAATATTTTTCAATTGTCCCATCTACAGGGAGATTCCATGGAGCTAGAGATTTGGTGTCTTGAAATGAATGAAAAGTAAGTGCTCTGTCTTAGGGTCCGTGGTTGTGGTAGCTGAGAATAAAGCAGATGACATCATGTGAAAAGCGGGGCTTCGTTATCAGTCATGGAGGGTGTTCTTCCCACTTAACAAAGCCAATAGGTCTTTGCTACAGTTTGCTTCATGCTTGGCTTCCAGCCCAGGCACAGAGATGACCTTCAGCGGGAGGGTCAGTCCAGAGAAACTTAGACGCCACAGGGAAAGGAGCAGAGAAAAGACTGAAAAGGATTTGTTGTTTTCCCAGAGTACAGATAGTTCTCTGATTAAATCCCTTGCGAGCTCTTGTAACATGACTGCTCTGTGTTGTCTGTTTTCTGTGTGGCAGACATCCAAAACGATTTCCCTTCACTACTCCTTTTTACACGCTGTGTTGGTCATAGATTGGAAATGCATGCTATTTTCCTTCTCCATTTTCTTTCTTCAAGGCAGATTAGCTTACTTCCTGCCTGAAGCTTCAGTTTTCAAGAATAGTATATAGGAGAACGGAGGAAATAGCAACACATCAAAAGAAAAATTTTAATAATAAATCTGTGAGGTGTGGGTATTATTTTTCTTTTCTAAGGAGAAACCAATTGCCAGGTTATTATAGTCTAAAATTTTAGTACCAAACAGACTTTTCTCCAAATTTCCTATTAGATGTAGAGAGGTAGACAGCTCATAAGATACTATATTGAAATTGTTTGCACCTCCAGTAATATAATTGCAATGTTGAATTACTGTTTTTACGTGTGTAGCTTTATTTCTTAGCTAACAGCTTCAAAGCTAGAAAAAAATATATTAGGTGCCTTTTGGTATCTATCTGCCTGGTTCTAGAGCACAAAAAAGTAAAACTTTTGCTTACCTCAATAATCTGTTGATAAACTGACAAAGAACTCTAATTACACTTTTAGTTCAGAACATGTTTTCATGATAAATTTCATCTTATGCAGTTCCCACACTTAATTTGCAGTTATCTCTGTTGACTGTAATACTCTGTGAAAGGTGTTATGTGGACTGCAAAGCAGGTTATATTCTATCAGAAGTCATGAATAATGCTAACAGATGAATCTCAGTCACTAGACAGAACATAACACTGCTCTATATCCGTTGTGTTTCTGTTCTTGGTTCTATGTGAGTTGAGTAGGCGAATGCTGATAGTGTCTGTGTGCTCCGCAGGTGTGATAAAGAGATTAAAGTTTCCTACACGGTGTACAACAGACTGTCGCTGCTGCTGAAGTCCCTCCTTGCCATAACTAGGGTGACACCAGCTTACAGACTCTCCAGAAAACAGGGGCATGAATATGTCATATTGTACAGGTAAGCAGCATGGTGCTTACCTCCCTGGTTCACTCATTAGCCTCATCGCTTTGCACATTGTCTGACTGGTAGATGGGTGTTCTGTGATTAATTTTGGACAGAGGGTTGGTAGGGTAGTTGATGCTATAGCTTTACTGTGATTGTCTATCCCTTCTCCTTTGTGATCCTCAACTTTCTAAAGGTACCGGGTTCTTTGTCCTTTTGTTCTGCGCAAGGTCATGATTCCTGTGGAATGGATTTGAGGTTGTACTGCTAGACATCTCAAAGCTGAAAAAGGAGCTTAAGACTTTAAAAAACAGACTGTTCTGAGAAGATTTCATAGCCTTTTGTATTTCAGAATTAAATTAAAACTTGTCTAACAGACTGCTAATTCAATTTGTTTTTGATTAGTTGTCTGTGGATATAAAGAACTCATCAGCGATTCTTTGAGTATTTTCCTTGGAGTAGTTCACCTCAACACATATTTATTGAGTGCCATTTTAATGCAAGCATTGTGCTAGGCCCAAAGAAGAACTGTACTCAGGCCCTACCCTACAGGTGTTTCTAATCTATTGGGGTGACCGTTTGGCACATGCATAATTATAATAAAAAGCAGGATTGGAAAACTACATAACAGTATCAGGAGAAAAGTACTGGGAGAACACAGGGAGGGAAAGTTTGTTCTGGGTGGGAGAAACCAGACAGACTTCCTGGAGGAAGTGGCATTCAAGCTAGACCTTGAGGCAGAGAGAATTTCAGCTGGTAGAAGTGAGGGAGAATGATCATTCCAGGTGGGGAGTGCAACAGATGGCAAGGCATAGAAGGGGGGACAGGATATGAGCCGTGCTCGGTTTGTTAGATGGATCCTAGTGTTGGTGTAGAGGATAAGCAGGAAGGTGTGAGAGCAGAGCGTGGTAAGCCAGGAGTTCCCAAATCACCCAACACTCTTCACATTAGTGCTGAGCTACTGGTTTCAGCCTTTGGCTTACATGTATAGAGCTGATTGTGAGGAGAAATTAATACAGCGGGGTGGAAGGACTAAGGATTAGAGACTAAACTAGTTATGCTGAAACAATCTACTACTACCTGAGAATAGTTACTGAGTCATTCTTTAATTTCCTTAGCAGTAATCTAGCAACCTCACCCATGTTTATTTTTCCAAGTATTTAAAATATTTTTGTTGTCTTCTCTGTAGTCTTTGGGTTTCAAGTTGAGTATTCCATTTGAAAATTACTAGACCTTTATTCAAACATAACAAAAGAGGGACACCTGAGTGGCTCAGTCAGTTAAGCATCTGCCTTTGGTGTGGGCCATGGTCCCAGGCCCTGTTCTTGGATCGAGTCCCACATCGGACTCTCTGCTCAGTGGGGAGCATGCTTCTCCCTCTGCCTGCCACTCCCCCTGCTTGTGCTTGTGCGCGCTCTCTCTCTGACAAATAAAGAAATAAAATCTTTAAAAATATATGTATATAACAAAAGATCGCTTATAACTCTTCTCATTTACCTATGCTAAGCCCCGTTCATTTTGGTTCTTTTGTAAGTAGCCATACTACACTACTAGTCTTCAGCTTAGTTAACTAGGGCTCAGTCCTTTTCATTACCAGTGTTTAAAGCTTTCCTTTCTTCTATATCTCTGGAGTAATGCAGTATTTATTGCTCACTGTTTATCATTTAGGAGTGCTTTTGGGTACAAATAATATGGCTTAAACCATAGAGAAGTGGGTGATCTCAGAAGTAGATTTGGCTTTTTTTCCCCCTTTTTTATACTATTGTTTTTTGGTTGTTTTTTTTTTTTTTAAGATTTTATTTATTTATTTGTCAGAGAGAGAGAGCACAAGCCAGGGGGAGGGGCAGAGGGAGAGGAAGAAGCAGACTCCCTGCCGAGCAGGGAGCCCGATGTGGGACTCAATCCCAGGACGCTGGGATCATGACCTGAGCCGAAGGCAGACGCTTAACTGACTGAGCCACCCAGGTGCCCCTATACTATTGTTAACAGGTTAATAGTAGAGCCTTATACCATTAAAGAACAGCCTTCTGGGTTTTTTTTTTAAAGTATATTATCATTTTTCCCCTGGTCTTGTAGATTTAATCATGTCACTATAGAATTACATCATTATAAAAATTCATTCTGAATTCGTTATTCATTAAGACTGAATTAAAGTTGGGGCTCCTGGGTGGCTCAGTTGGTTAAGCGACTGCCTTCGGCTCAGGTCATGATCCTGGAGTCCCGGGATCGAGTCCCACGTCGGGCTCCTTGCTCAGCGGGGAGTCTGCTTCTCCTTCTGACCCTCTTCCCTCTCGTGCTCTCTATCTCTCATTCTCGCTCTCTCAAATAAAATAAATTAAAAAAAAATCTAAAAAAAAAAAAAGACTGAATTAAAGTTAACTGTCGTCTCCTATCTGTGAAGAAAACTTTTGCTTAGCACCTGAATGGCGTAAAGGATATAGCCAAGAAGGTGGTTAGATAATTAGGTTATTTTAAGCACTATGAATTACCAGTATTCAAATGAGTACTGAGCTTTTTATTTAAAATAAAAAAGATTATTTATTTGAGAGAGAGCAAGCACGAGCAGGGGGAAGAGCAGAGGGAGGGGGAGAGACAAGCAGACTCCCCACTGAGTGGGGAGCCCAACACGGGGCTCGATTCCAGGGCCCCAAAATCATGACCTGAGCCAGAATCAAGAGTTGGATGCTCAACTGGCTGAGCCACCAAAGGTTGCTAGCAAAATGTCTTTTGGCAACTTTTTATCGACATCATTCCTGTGTTATTTTATGGCAGGAGTCAGTAAACTATGGCCAGCAGACCATCTGCTTGTTTTTATAAATAAAGCTATTTTATTTTATTATTTTTCTAAGTTTATTTTTTTTAGTAATCTCTACATTCAGCATGGGGCTGGAACTCATGACCCCGAGATCAAGAGTCTCACACTCTCCTGACTGAGCCAGCCACGCGCCCCTAAGTGAAGTAATTTTAGAACACAGCCGCCCCCTTCATTTGTGTATCATCAGTGGTACTTTTGCAGGACAACAGCAAAGCCGAGTAGTCTGCCTCAGACTGTATGGCCTGCAAGCCTTAAATATCTGATCCTTTTAACAAAAATTTGCTGACCCCTGCTTTATGGGGTCTGTCCCTTTCGTGCATGTATTATAATTTGTGAGACCTAGGCTTCAGATTTACCCTGAATCTCATCCCTAGCTTATTCTTATCTCATGCTTAACACCTAACCGTAGGGCTTTGTACCTTGTTGGAGCTTCGTTTTTAATTGAACAAAGCCATGTATTGTGTTTAATTTTTAACCATATTACTAGAAAAGTATAATGTTTTGTAGTGTAGTTTGTAATGTTTTATAGTTCAGACCTATAGCTAATATAGACTGCCCTTCCCAGGGAAATTCAGAGAAAAGTTCTGCTGTGCTTATATTTTTGTATTTTCAGAAGTCTTATGTAATTCTATAATGGAAAAGATTTTTGAATTTCTTAAGCAGTTTACTTTGGAATGACTTGTGACAAGCATGGAGAGCTCCCCTTAATTGAAGACCACTGCCACAATCTGATACCTTCTATTGCATATTTGAAAGTTGCCATGTAACACCCAGTGCTCATCACCAGTGCCCTCCTTAATGCCCATCACCCATTTAACCCATCCCCCGCTTACCGCCCTTCCAGCAACCTGCAGTGTATTCTCTGTAGTTAAGAGTCTCTTATGATATGCCTACCTCTCTGTTTTTATCTTATTTTATTTTTCCTTCCCTTCCCCTATGTTCATCTGTTTTGTTTCTTAAATTCCACATATGAGTGAAATCATATGGTATTTGTCTTTCTCTGACTGACTTCTTTCACTTAGCATATTATACTCTAGTCCCATTCATGTCATTGCAAATGGCAAGATTTCAGTGTTTTTGATGGTTGAGTAATATTCCATATATATATGGAATATATAATGGAAATTATTTACATGGAATATATATATAAGGAATATATAATGGAAATAAATATATGTATCACATTTTCTTTATTCATTTATCAGCTGATGGACATGTGGGCTCTTTCCATAATTTGGCTATTGTTGATAGTGGTGCTATAAGCATTGGGGTGCATGTGCCCCTTTGAATCAGTATTTTTGTATCCTTTGGATAAAATAACTAGTAGAACAATTGCTGGGTTGTACAGTAGTTCTATTTTTAACTTTTTGAGGAACCTCCATAGTGTTCTCCGGAGTGGCTGCTCCAGTTTGCATTCCCACCAACAGTGTAAGAGGGTTCCCCTTAAGAAAGGAGATCTTAAATGTTCTAATCCCAAGAAAAAAACATTTTGTATATGTTGTGATGGATGTTAACTGGACATACTGTGATGATCAATTTGTAATATAAACAAATACTGAATCTTCTTGTACATCTGAAACTAATATAATCTTGTTTGGTGAACGTACCTCAAAAAAAAAAAATCTAGTACTTTCTAATAGTGGTTTGAGATCTTTTTGCCAATCTTATTTCTAGATTCTTTATTCCCCAGGAGGTATACTTTAAAAATACATTGCAGGAGCAGGAAGAAGAAACTAAAATTACAGACTCCACTTAATTATTATTTTCCTTATTTCTTAACCAATTCTTTCCATATACATCCCTATGCCTGCAGCTTAATTGAAGGAGTGACATTATTGCTCCATTAGGAGAGGTGTTCATGCAGATGAGAAAGGAAGGGTTTGTTTTGTTTGTTTTGGCTATAGAGGCCCTTAGAATAAAGAATCATTTATTTTTTTCTTTCTTTCCTAAGGATATATTTTGGGGAAGTTCAGCTGAATGGCTTAGGAGAAGGTATGTATCAAGGTTGAAAAGCATTTGTAGTGTTAAGAGCCTTCCTGACTTCAGAGATGGGCTTGGATGCTGCCTGTCGTAATATGTAGCTTATGATTTTAATACGTGTGATACAAGTAAGGAGAAGACCGGTGGGTGGTCCAAAGAGCTGCCAGGGAATGACTGAATAATTTTACCCAAAGTTCTAGTAACTCAGTATTCTTTCTTATTCTTTATACCATTGTCTGTTTTCCTAATTTTCTATAATGAGCATGTTAAACGATTCTGATGAGCATAAGCAATTTTGGAAATTGGACATGAAACCAAGAAAACCGGGAAAGCTTTGTTGGAAATACCGCCTGCAAGGCCCCGGCTCTTTTCTATACTTAGTTCTGGGGGGCAGCATGAGGAGAAGTGCAGTCACTTCTGCACCTACATAAACTGAGGGCTTCATGTGATAAAGCCCCAGGGCCCCTTTCCTGTCTCACTGGGCATGTGACACATTTGGGCCAGGTTGGTTAGGACTTGCTCAGACTTTAGGACTAACAGTTTGTTTTGCCTCTTTGAAGGTAGCTTTATCTGGAAATAGAATTCTGTTTTCCCTTCCAATACTGGGTCAATATATAATAAATCAAAGGAAAAAATACATATATACACACACACATATATGAAATTGAGGCTGCTGCACTCATGGTGTGAAATAGATAAAGCCAGAGATTGTATGATAGGCTGCATGATTCAGGGAAAGCCAGACTAGAGACAGTTGTCCGTATTCTCTGGGGAAAAGCTAATTGTGTATTTCTTCTCCTAGGTTTTCAGACAGTTCGTGTTGGGACAGTAGGCACCCCTGTGGGCACCATCACTCTTTCTTGTGCTTACAGAATTAACTTGGCATTTATGTCTACCAGGTGAGGAAAGAGCCTTGGAATCCAAAAGAGCTCTTCCAAAGATGAATTCAAGATATTAAAGTTTGTTTTTCCCTCAAACTCTGTGGCTAAGCTTATAGTTCAGCTTTGCCATTGCTGAAATCAGTCCCCTTCTGGAAGATAAATTCAGAGACAGAGCCCCGTTTCCAGATGGGAGAATCTGAGTGTCTCAGAGCCATCAATGTAGAGTTGTGGTTTATATTTAGGGATGAAATAGTTAAGACTGTAGTGGTACCTGCCAATAGATATAAGGTGAGGGGTCCTCTGAAGACTTCAGGGGGGCTGACAAGGCATTCTAACAAATATTGCAATCTGCTTATTGCATTACAGGCAATTTGAGAGGACTCCACCTATCATGGGGATTATCATTGATCACTTTGTGGACCGTCCCTATCCCAGCTCCTCACCCATGCACCCCTGTAATTACAGGTGAGGAATGTGTAGGGGCTTTCCCAAACTGCAGCTAGGGAGAGGCATTCATCTTGTACATAGAGCACCTTTCTCAGCACTCACCAGTGGGCAGGGGACAGTGATGGAGACCCCACATGGAGAGAAATGGAGTGGTTAGCTTCCCTTCCTCTGCTACCTGTAAGGTACACCAAGCCTTGGAATATACAGACTGTCTCAGAAAATTCTTGGACATTTTGGATCTTGACGGTAGTGATTTGACTTTCGATTTGATTTTACTTAGAGACTACAAGAGTGGCAGTAATTAACAGCATGTCCTTCACAAATTAAATGGTTTTCTGGTGACCATTGGCACAGTTTAGTTAGAGATTAGAATCAAATGTCTTCAGGCCGAGATCCCAGAAGACAGAATTCTGTAGAGGTCGGAACAGATGTGTATCAGGAAGAATACTGCCTTTACGGGAAGAACTTTTGAAGTTGGATGGGGTCATCTTTGGAGTCTGGATTTTTGTTTCACTGCATCTCTTTTGCTGACAGTTCTTTAGTCCCAACACTGGCCAGGCTTAAGAAAATATTCTCAAATCATATGTCAGGTAGGATGTTTGGGTTAAAAATAAAAGCCTTGGTCAACCTCTAGATGTTGTTCTCTGGGGTATGTTTGACATTATCGAGGACTCAACATGCTTCTTTTGCCATACTGAGCTCTGTCTGAAACAGCTCTTGTCACAATTTGCATCCTTATCTAACCTCCCTCTATCCTTTCTGAAATTGACTGCCGTCACTATAAAATTCATGATTTATTTTCCCCCCATCATAGAACTGCTGGTGAGGACACTGGAGTAACATATCCTTCTGTGGAAGATTCTCAAGAAGTGTGTACCACCTCTTTTTCCACCTCCCCTCCATCTCAGGTAGGGGGAAACAGGTTCGGGGGTGGGTGGCTATAGTTATTTGGTATATATATGGGCATGAAATGGTGTCAGAATTTAGATACAGTCGGGGCGCCTGGGTGGCTCAGTCATTAAGCGTCTGCCTTCGGCTCAGGTCATGATCCCAGGGTTCTGGGATCGAGCCCCGCATCGGGCTCCCTGCTCAGCCGGAGGCCTGCTTCTCCCTCTCCCACTCCCCCTGCTTGTGTTCCCTCTCTCGCCGTGTCTCTCTCTGTCAAATAAATAAATAAAATCTTCAAAAAAAATTAAAAAAAAAAAAAAAGAATTTAGATACAGTCTCTTTTGCTGGTCCTGGTGATTGTTTCCAGGGGGTTATTTTAAGGGGTGAAGAGGAGCCTTCTTATCCAGCAGGTAATATTGCAATGTTTCTAATCTGTAACCATGACCTTTTTTTTTTTTTAAGATTGTATTATTTATTTGAGAGAGCGCGCTCATGTACATGCAAGCAGGGGCAGAGCGGGGAGGGAGAGGGAGAGAATCTGAAGCAGACTCTGTTTTGAGCGTGAAGCCCAACACAGGGCTTGATCCCACAACCCTGAGATCATGACCTGAGCCGAACCAAGAGTCAGACGCTTAACCGACGGAGCCACCCAGGCGCCCCTCTAGCCTGTAACTATTCTTAACCCACAAGATTACATGTAGCTTTTACATTCCTGGAGACATCTTAAAATTCCCTAGAAAATGAATCACAGAATTCCAAATGCATTGTGATACCAGAGAGGTATTGTACCCTACTCTTGTTAATTTGGTAGCTACTTCACTTTTCAAGTGGTAAATATGGTTCCTAATCATGGAAGGAGCACAAAAGGAACCAATAATTATTGGGCATAGAATGCCAGTAAGAAACCAGCCGTGCAGTTTCTCCTCATAGTTGACACAGATTTCTGGCTATCTGCATTCTTTATCTGAACATTTTTAACCATTAACTTTTCCACTTGAGTCCATCTCCAGTGTCAAACCCAGTTTCAGTGATACACAGGCTCCATACAAGGTTCCCAGCTTGCCAAGCGCACCCACCTGTGTGGCCTTGTTGTGTAATGTCCACGGTACCAAGTCTGCTTCGGCAAAGAAGTCGTTTGTTGCCAGATGACTGAATTTCAGGGCGCGTTTCTTCCCTTCCGCCGCAAGTCATTCATCTCCCACCTCATGGCCGGCGGCCCCCTGCTCTAACTGCTCATCCTGTCACTCCCCTCCTCTCTGACTTGCACATTAGACAGTCTCTTCTAGACCTAACTCAGTTCTGTGTTCTCTAAACTAGTCCCAGATTATTTCCTTTCACCATCTTGTTTTGGGAGCCCAACAAATTAATTCACTACCATAGATTTTTATTTTCTGTGTTTTTTAATTAAGAAAATATTTAAATTTACTTCATTCTGAGTTGTTAGGAGATACTGGATTAAAATTATGGTTCTCATCTGTTTCAAAAAGAGAAGTTGGGCACAAAAGTTAGCTTAAAAAAAAAAAAGCTAGCTTAATGTGTGTGAAAGAAATTACAAAATCCATGGGTCTCTGTTACTTCTTTTGTCCCCATTTAGAGTTAAGGAGGTTCTTGTAAAGTTGCCTAGACAGTTTGGGTGTTACTGTTACTCCCCTCTCCCCATGAATGTACGTAGGCATGAGTGCCTTGGGTGGGGGCAGCTTCTGGCACTCTTACTGACATAGAACAATCCTGACCCAGAAAGAGGGGAAAGGCCACCAGAGCACATTAGTGCAAGTAGATTAGTTTTTAGATGATCAAAATATGAATATGTCAAGTTTGATGTTCTTTGAAGTTTCGTTTTATTTTTTAATTTTTTTAAAGATTGTTAATTCATTCATTTGAGAGAGAGTGAGAGCACAAGGGGGGGCGGTGCTTAGAGGGAGAGAGAGAAGTAGACTCCCCACTGAGCAGGACTCCATCCCAGGACCCTGGGATCATGACCTGAGCCAAAGGCTGACGCTTAACCAACTGAGCCAGGTGCCCCTATTTTGTTTTATAGGTGATAAATTCATAAACAGTAAATGAAGTTGTGACTTGGGAGATACGAGGATGGTAAGGCTGGGCCTTAACAAAAAAACTTTCTCGAGTACAGTGGAAATTTGACCTGACCCCAAAAGTAAGGGGAAATTAAGTAGTTCCTGCATCTCCTGTTTGCACAAAGTTTGTTGACTTGTGTAAGGGGAGCCTGTCTTTCTCATGGTATCAGTTGCCTGCTTTGTCTTGTCACAGTTTGAGAGTAGATTGTGCCAAGATCTTATCAACACTGAGCATCCTGTGGGTGAGCCCTGTCACTACCCTCTGAGGACCTCTAGTTGAGGCTGGTACAGTTTGGTGCAAAAGAACTCATTTTCAACCTTAGTTGTAGAACAGAAAAAGAAAATGATTTGCCAGCAGGTCTCATCCTTCCTGTAAATATTGAACTAGTTTCTTCCTTGGCTTAACCTAGGGAATTGCATAATTGTTCAACAACTTCTATTTGAGCTTTTTGCAAAGGTCCAGTAAATGCATGTTAATGTGGTGTTTGTTTTCCCAAAAAAAATACGGACCATTGTGTCATGTGGGCACAAAGTCGAGTCAGGAAATAGTTGTGACCCTGAGCCTGCTACTGTGATTTCAGGTCTGATCTCCCGTTCTAAGCGCTAACTAGCTAATTGGTAAGACTTAAAGATAGAACAGCAAGACCCAAAATAATCCTAATTAGCTTTGAAATCGAAGAGTTTTTAAAGTGCCCCAGCTCTTACTGCATCAGGTTCTCCTTCACCATGCGGGGCTATAAAACACCCATACACTGTCCTGCGTCCACCTGTGCACACACAGACATGCTTACACCTGTACACACCCATTCCTCCTGCCTCAGGTGGCGTAGTCAAGTCTGCAGCTGGGGACCTGCGCTTTTTTTTTTTTTTTTTAAGATTTTATTTATTTAGTTGAGAGAGCATGAGCAGGGGGAGGGGCAGAGGTCCCTACTGGACACAGCCCAACGTGGGGCTTGATCCCAGGACCCTGAGATCTTGACCTGAGCCAAAGTCAGATGCTTAACTGACCGAGCCACCCCATTGCCCTGGACCTGAGCATTTTAAAGTTCTATCAACAAATGTCAGTTGTTTAAACCTATCCTTGGAGATTCTGGGTCCCCAGGAAAAAGGTCTCCAGTCTAGCATTGTAACCTCAGCGTCTTCATCCTCAGCACGCCTTGCACCTGTTCTCAAGCCCTTGCTGCTGGAGGCCATTTTCTAACACCCTTCTGCCTCTTTTGACTAAGGACACACTAATGCTTGGTTCAGTTTTTTTCCCTGTTTTGCCAAGTCATGCCAGCTTGACTCAGCTTTGTTTTCCACCTGCTCATCAGGGCGACAAGCATGTAGTGGAGCCCCCTGGGATAAACGTGTCTTCCTCAGACACTTCCAAGTTGTCCTTCTCGGGAGGCAGCCATGTTGCTCTCTCCCTGCCGCACCCCTGACTTCCAGCGTGCAGTTCAGCCCCTATGGCTGTCTCCCCTTCCAGAGTTGTTTTCACTTCTTTCTTAAGTCCCTTTTCTGTTTTCTTCTCTTGTTTCTCCTGTCTCTGTGTGTATCTGTGCACAGTGTGTGTTTACTGTCACAAAGGCACATTTTCAGACCCCTACTCCTGTGGTGACGGATACTCTGAGGGTCCCCATGCCAGGACTGGCCTTTTCCCATCAAGTGAGTCCATACTGGGAAGAAGGGGATATAATCAGATGGCATCTTTTTATTTAAAAATTATACATAAAGTACAGGGAATAGCTATATAAATGTCCCCAAGTGTTCTGGGGGTTATTTGAGGTTTGGTAATTGATTTTCAACAGGATGCAGCCATAGCACAGCAGCCCAAAATAGGATGTTTCGTTTGCCCCTCCTCCTACCATTGATGTAAAAAATACATGGAGTTATTTATGTCTTACTTCCAAATAAACAATCCAAGAGTGGTATTCTTTCTTTTTCAGTATAAATAGGAACCCTCTCATACCCAGGGGTGATGGAGGGTGTGATTAGGGAAGACGCCTTCTGTTTCAAAGGGACCTCAAGGACAAAGGAGAAAATAGAATGACCTGGGAAAAACCAATGACTTTGGCTGCAAGTTCTGCTCGGGCTTGTGCTGCTTCGCCAGTCCATTGGGCTGGAAACCTCAACAGTTAGCTGAGCCCCTAGGGAAAGGGGGAGCAGGGAACTCATTTGAGGCCTTTGGAAGGCTGCAGAGCTGGGAATGTCAGTCCCACTACAAATAAGTCTGTGCTTTCTTAGCCACAGAGTAATGGCCTGCTCTGTCTTTAACCCTTACGTCACCCCCCCCCCCCCCCCCGTGAGGATGTGGGCTTGGGATCCATTCCTTACCTCTCCACAATCTTGATCATTAGTCATACTCTAGGATTGCGTATTTTTTCCTCCTCCTTTCTTCTGCCCCTCTTTGTTTTTCTCTCGCTTAGCTCTCAAGCTCTCGCCTTTCCTATCAGCCTGCTGCCCTGGGCATTGGATCAGCTGACCTGGCTTACCCAGTAGTGTTTGCTGCTGGCCTAAACACCACACACCCTCACCAGGTATCTTTAAAGATGGGGAGGACCCCGGGGGTTCCTGTGCTCCTCCCCTGCCTTGAGGCAGTGGAGGGGCCTCTTCACACATCAGTATTGTGCTAAGTGCTCTGAAACAAAACTCTTATGTAACTTCAGAGGGCCGAGGTGACTCCAGGAGGAAGGGCTCCTAGAGTTCAGAAAGGAAAGAAGAGCTTCCAAGTGTTTTCTCCCTCTCTTTCCTCTCCCTCTGTAGTTTTACCACGTATGTCATGTCTCCCGTTAGCTGAGTCCCAGAGAAGACATAGATCCAAGGTTTCCCGCCCATTTGGTGGCAGCATTCATGGTGGAAAAGCTCAGAGGCAGCTACCATCACACTGGGCCAAGTTTCCTCTCCTGCCTGACACTGCCATTATTCACTATATTCTTCCATTTCCCCCAAAGCTCATGGTTCCTGGGAAGGAAGGTGGGGTACCTCCTGCTCCCAACCAGCCTGCCCATGGTGCCCAGGCTGACCAGGAGAGACTGGCAACCTATACCCCATCTGACGGGGCCCACTGTGCTGCCACACCTTCCAGCAGGTGAGTTTAAGGCCTGGCTGCTCAGGCGGCCAGGGGCCCATCCTCCCTGACACCTCCCTGCCTATCTGGTGTCAGTAAAGAGTCACTTTCAGCATTGCCTCAGGGTTGGCACTTAGGCCCCAAATGCGGAATTCTTAGAGTTCTTAGAGTTCTCGATAAGAATCTTATATTGCAGCTGGTATGTAAGGAAGCTGCCCCGAGCTTGCTATTAACAGCCCACAGCCAGGACCTACTTCTTATCACCCTCATCCAGTGAAGGGGACCTTCAGATATGTTTTTTTTTTTCTCTTACCCCCAAATTTATTCCCTTGGAATGAGTCCTCAGTGTTTCCTCAGGACCAGCGCAGGTGGTTTGCTGTAACCCTCCAGTTTGGGGCCACAGTGGATCTGTGGTGGTAGTTAGGATTATTGTTGTTGTTTTTCCTCTGCTATGTTAGCACCTCATGGAGATTTTTTAGAAACAAGTTTTTCTTCATTAAAAATTTTAAAAAATTTTTGTATTTTCTGATTACAGAAGTGATACATTCTGTAAATTTCAAATTATGAAGACATTGATGAGGTAGAACATGAAAGTTCTCATTATCCAACCCTGCGCAAATCACCACTGTTTACCACCTTTTCCAAAGATGAGAGGATCTCAGAGGGTTAAGTAATTTGCCAAAGAGCACTTAGCTCACACAATGGCCCGGCTCAGGCCGAGCTCCTCTTTCCCTTACACTCAGAGTTCTCCCATGGGAAGATGAGGCTGTCCTGACCTGCCCTGCCCTGCCCTCCCTTGACTGCAAGGCCCCAGAGATAATGACGTTGATTGCCCCGCTACATCCTAAATGAACTTTTGGATAATAGAAATTTTTGGTATTTTTTTTTTCATTCCCACGGTGGAGCAGTGGGCGGGAAATTATTTGGGAAGATCTTTTTGTACCGTCCACCAGGAAAAATAATTACTTTCATTCCTGGTTTCCCAAACTTCCATCCTTTTATCCCTCCCCCTGTCAGATAATCAAAGGAATATCCCGTTAGTCGTTTTACACTCTAGTTTTCTGAGCCTTGACTCCTGAAGCATGTCTGGGAGTAGCTAGAGATAGAGGACCCTATCTCTTCTCTTTGGGGTAAGGGGTGCTTAAATGCAGGTCATCAGAGCTCAGGCCTTTCTTCAGTGCTGGTCTTTCCTGCTGGCTGGCGTCCACTTGGACGGCACAGTCCTCCCTACCTTGAGCCCCTGCTTTTGGCCAGAGGACCTTTCCTAACCCCTGCTGCTGCTGGGGCTGTGACTACTAGCCTGGTGGCCACAGGGTGAACCCTCACCGACAGCCCCCATCCCCCATCATCCAGGACTCCACATCAGTCTGGAGAGCTGGAGAGGGAGGGAGTGGGCAGCCAAATGCAATGTGCCATTGAAAGACCTTGCTGAACAGAGGATTGATTGGGGGCGAGGAAAGGAAACATGGTATGGAGCACAGAGGACCTCAGCCCAGGCTATGTGTCATGGGCAGAGAAAGCTCTGCCTATCTGAAGAGCCAAATTTGGGACTCTCAACTTAGGATAATGACACTGCCCCTTGTGAGGTAAGGCTTAAATTTAACACGCAACTGTATAAACCCTGTAAATGGTTCCTTCTTATGGTAATTTTAGATAACAAAACAAGAAGGCAGAGAACAGCTTAAAGCTTGAGTCTGCCTGTGTCATGGATTACTGTTAAAATCACGGTTAGGAGCGCTGCTTGCCTGTATGCATGACTGCTGTATGCTTGGTAACTGATGCTTACCAGAGAGGTGTTTCAGATTAAATTAAATGTAAGCCTTACACAGTTGTAACACTTGAGTTTCATTCACATATGCCTCATTTTTAGTGGCTCCTGGAAGTGCAGTCCTCTGCTGTCAACTCAGAAGGGAGAGTGACAGTGGCTGCAGTCAGCCCTGTATTGCCATTAACCACATGGGTTGGCTGGTGGGGGGCCACTCCTAGTCTGGACTGCAGCCCCACCAAAGATGGGTTTATGGGCAACCAAGTAGGCTCTGCCATGGTTTGAGAATGAGTACCAACACTGTCTTTCTTCTTCAGCGAGGATACTGAAACGGTATCAAACAGCAGTGAGGGCCGGGCATCCCCCCACGATGTCTTGGAGACCATCTTTGTCCGCAAAGTGGGGGCTTTTGTCAACAAGCCCATCAACCAGGTGATTTTTCTGGCACTGCCACCTGTGAGAATGTCTGAGCCTTTAGAGTGAGGCCTTAGGGGCAGGGCTCTTCACTTAGGGTCTTTGAGAACCCTGAAAGTGCATGCAAAATGTGTGTGTGTGTGTGTGTGTGAATTTTTGGGGAAGAGGGTTAGTAACCTGTGACAGCTCTCCAGAAGTTCACAGCTCTTGTTCTGTGATCGTATAAGCATACTCCCCTAGGAGATGGAGACTAGGCACCATTTGGTAGAGATACTGTGCACTCAAGTGTCAGGGCCTCTTACTCAAAATAAGAAGTTCCTCTTCAGCTCTACCAGCGCAGAGCAGTTGTTACCCAATCACTGTGGGTCAGGCCTCCAAAGCTGACTCCCGGGGTCCTGGGGGGCCCTACCCCTGTTTATGTTATGGGTGTGTGATGGAAGGCAGGGAGATTTGGGTTTCGCCAGCAGGATGGGAACCTGAGGACAGTGTGGTCAGCCTGGGTGTGCAAATCTGCTAGACCCACAGGCAGCTGGTGGTCTCTGAGGAAGCCTGTAAAAGCTGGGGCAGGGGTGGGCACTGGAATTTCCGTGTCTCTTCAGGTGACCCTGACCAGTTTGGACATACCCTTTGCCATGTTTGCTCCCAAGAATTTGGAGCTGGAGGATGCCGATCCCATGGTGAGTCCCCCTTTGACTTAAGTTAACAGATGGTGCTGTGTGCGTCGTCTTCCTGGGCAAGTCATTGTTCCTCCACAGACTATTAACCATGCTCCTGGCTTACAGATTTTCAGCCAGGTTGGGTCCCTTACAGATCCTTTGATTATTAACAGCACCTTGCACCCAGTGCATGGAACCAGCCCCTACCTCCACCTTGTTCTGAAACAGGTGAATCCTCCAGACTCCCCACAGACCGAATCTCCTCTCCAGGGCAGCCTGCACTCGAATGGCTCCAGTGGGGGCAGCAGTGGCAATACCCACGATGACTTTGTCATGATCGACTTCGTAAGTTGCTGTCACCTTCTTGGACCTTTGCTGCCATAGGGGAAATAAACCAAGAACTGTCCAGGGTACTTGAACAGGACTTCCTTCGCAGGGATCAGATGGACTGGTACAGACAGGGGATGGGATGGGTGGGCACCTGGCTGTGCAGTTCATGGGGGGAACCTGCCCCCACGCCCTGCTTGGGGACACATTTGGAGGCCCATGAACAAGAAGGCATTTTGTGCCGTGTCTTTGGCTGAAATTCAACTCTAAATGAGGATTTGCCAGTGGTATCCACGTAGGCCCTATTCCTGCTTGAATGGATGGCCCTTTGCTAAGGAAAGGAGTTTGAGGGAAGGGAACATAAACCTTAGCACCTGCTTAGCACTAGGGCTAGAGCTCAGCTGCACAGAGGAGAAAGGTATAGCAATTCCTCCCCCTAACATGAACCTGGAGGAACCCTTTCTCTGATAATTACTGGAAGGAAAGAGGGTTGTTCATAGCTTCTTTCCCCTGATTTTCCCCTGTGATCTAAGGCAAGCTAAACCGAGTCTGTCTTGTTTTTGTAGAAACCGGCTTTTTCTAAAGATGACATTCTTCCGATGGACCTGGGGACCTTCTATCGTGAATTTCAGAATCCCCCTCAGCTGAGCAGCCTCTCCATAGATATCGGAGCACAGTCCATGGCTGAGGACTTGGTATGGATACCCCTTCCCCTGCCAGACCTCAGCCTGCAACCTCCTATCCTCTTTTAATGGTCATTCTTGCTCCAAAGGCCTGGAAATTTCTTCGTGTTACTGCCCCACCTCCCACATGTCCCATCCTCTCCATAACGGGAAAGGGACACTTTAGATCCTTTATCTTCTGTTGATCACATTTGCGGTTGCATTGTGCCTGGCAGTCACTATCTTGAAGTTGATTGCATTGACTTCCTCCTCTTCTGTCCGTGCTCACCATTACTTCCCATCCCTGCTGTTCACGGTCTCGGGTCTTCTGCCTGCGGCTGCCACGAAACCAAACTGCTGCAGTCGCTCCTCTGTTCAGCTGCTCAGCTTGTCAGGCAGACGTCAGCGGTACAGGGTGGAGGGAACGTGAGGTCCTGAGTATTGGTGCCCTTGCTCTTTCCTCGGAGAGCTCGTTCCCACTTCACCAGCAGGAACGTGAGGTCCTGAGTATTGGTGCCCTTGCTCTTTCCTCGGAGAGCTCGTTCCCACTTCACCAGCAGGAACGTGAGGTCCTGAGTATTGGTGCCCTTGCTCTTTCCTCGGAGAGCTCGTTCCCACTTCACCAGCAGGAACGTGAGGTCCTGAGTATTGGTGCCCTTGCTCTTTCCTCGGAGAGCTCGTTCCCACTTCACCAGCAGGAACGTGAGGTCCTGAGTATTGGTGCTCTTGCTCTTTCCTCGGAGAGCTCGTTCCCACTTCACCAGCAGTTCTTGAGGGTGTTCTTGCTCTTTCCTCAGAGAGCTCGTTCCCACTTCACCAGCAGTTCTTGAGTTTGCCGGGTGTCCTGATTCTGATGTAATCTCTGCATCTCTGCTCAGCGTATTTCCTGTGTCCAAAGAGCAGAGGAACATGCTGCACGGCTCTAAACTCTGGGTGCCCTACACCTCCGTGCAGCTTGTCCCCAGGATGTCCCCGGAGGCTCTTAGTCTTGTCGTAAGAAAAGAATTCAAAGACGGACCAGACACAGTGGTTGAGTGGTGCAGGTGGAGTTGCCCCAGTGAGAGTACGCCCGGGCTGGGAGAGCAGGCAGGCTCGGGAGAGCTCTGCACCCCAGGGTTTGGGTCTCTATCTTTTATTGACAGTTGTTAACTAGGGGGGATATTTATTATTTGGAAGGAGGATTTCTTTGGGAGTAGGTTTTCACCTCTTCGTCTTTGAGTACGGCCAGCCAGGACAGGCCTCTGACTTTGCCGATAGCTGCCCCTCACTTCCCCCTTTGCTGGCCTCCAGGCATCCTTTTAAAACCTAACTAGCTGTTTACTCTAACACCATAGGATGTCAGGGTGGGGTGGAAATGCCACCTTCTATGTCAACACTAGAGGAACGGCTCTAGTTGGAGTAGGAATCTTGGAATATCTGCCCTTGCTTTGCTCGAAACAGAAAAGCATGCTCAGTAATAACAATACTATAACAATATCATTATTATTAACATTTATTGAGGCTTCCTAGGTGCCAAGCATTTTTCTAAGTGCTGTACATGAATCTTCAACAATCCTAAGAGGTAGCTTTTCTTATTATCCCAGTTTACAGATGAGAAAACTGACACTGTAAACAGATAACTTGCCCCTGGTCACACTGAGCTGGCAACACACAGCTTTGATCCTAGAGAGTCTGGCTTCTGATTTTAGGCTTTTAGCCACTGGCCCCCTGGCTTCTCATTGGAAACAGGCCTGGAAGAAACTGGACCAGGAAGGCTCCCTGAGTGACTCTGCAGCCAGGAGTAGCCAGTTACCCCCGCCTCCCGCAGCTGCCCTGGTGCCCCCAGCATGTCTGGGCCACCTGCCAGTTCTGGGGGGGACAGGCCTACCTCTCCTCAGCACCTGGTGCCAGTCAGGAAATCTCTTCAAATGCACATTCAGCACCTGATTAGGGTCAAATTTTTATTAATAGTTGATTCTTGAGGGCAGTTAAATTTAATTTCTCAGATTCTGTTTTCTTCTCTTGTTTATTGTTTTCTCCTGACTCTCTTAACGTGCCCCATCCTCAGCATGCCCCATCCTGAGGCCTAGGAATCAGCAGGTACAAAGATGCTGATTCCTAGGCCTCCCCACAGACCTGCCGAGTCAGACTCTCTTGGGAGCGTGGTTGAGACAGCTTTGTTCCTGTGCCCCCAAGGGATTCTGCTGCCCAGCACAGGTCATGAAGAACTCTCCTCAACTTTTCTTAATCTGTAGCATACTAGGCCTACTGTTTCATCCCTGTGTCAGTCTGATCTGTGCCAAAGGTAACTTCTCTGTGTCACCCTGTTGTTGGCATGCTCCTTTTCTAGCTCGGTAAGTGTGTGGCCCACCTGATTCCCTGGGCTGTTCTGCTGAGCCCCCAAGCCCCACAAACCCTGCTGGACACAGGCCCACTGTGTGGTGCCTGCCCCCCGGCCCAGCATCTCCTGCTCTCCTGGCCCGCACTGTCGCGCTGAGCTCTGGGCTGTGCTCTCTTCTCCAGCCGGGCCGGGGGGCCTGCGCTAGCTGCCTCTTCAGGACCCTACCTGAATAAGCAGCTCTTCTCTCCCCTCCCGATACAGGACTCACTACCAGAGAAGCTGGCTGTGCATGAGAAGAATGTCCGAGAATTTGATGCCTTTGTAGAAACCCTGCAGTAAAAGTTGGTGTCCACGGGTACCAGCAGCATCCCCTTTCTGTGGTCCCAGGAGACAGAGCCTCCCACTCATCAGCTGCTCCCATCCCTCATCTTGCTCCAGGTGGAGGAGAGGCTGGTTTCCCCCGTGGGGACCCGGAAGTCCCCGTTCTGACACCTCCTGGAGACTCCATGGCAGCAGTCAAGCCTGGTGATAGCATTTGAGAGACTCACCCCCTGGCCTTGGAGATTAGAAGACCCTTTATAACAAAAGGGCCCTCGGCAGGGCCATCTGCTTCCACCACCCATCAGCGACTGCTTCACAATGGCTGTCATCCCGTTCCTCCTGCCGGCCCCCTGCCTTGGGTCCGCCCTGCAGCTGCCCCTTGCTGACTTGCCGTTACCATCGAGCACTTGACATTCCAGCTCCTGGCCCAGAGCCTGGCGTGGAGGCAGAAAGAGGAAGGAGACAGTGCTGGGAGGAAGAAGGAAGGGCTCCTTTAGGCTCTTTTTTGGTCCCCTTTGGTTTGATGTCTTCTTCCTCTCTCCTTCCCTCTCTGCGCCCCTGTGCCTGTACTTTTGGCAATATGACAGGCCTCTTGCCCAAGGTGGCTAGAACTCCAAAGTCAGCCATTCCCACCCTTGAGGGTTGTGCCAGCCCATCTCTCAGCGGAGGCTCTGAGCAGCCCTGGTGGCTGTCTGTGCTCAGCTCCTCAGCTCCATGGAAGCAGAATCCTGGGTCTCCAGGATTCTCTCATTGGGAGTCACAGCAAAGGTTCTTTTTCTCTCCTTCCTCCCCCTGTTGCTGCTCCTTGGTTATAAAACACGGTAAATATTTATTACTTTTCAGAGAAATCAGATATTTTATAGAGAAAATATGTTTGAGGTTAGATGTTTTCACTTGGGGAAGATGGAGGGCCTCTTCCTGGAGTAGGGCCTCCTCCTCAGGAGGTTCCTCAGATTCTGGGTTGCTGCTCTGAGGATCTTCCTTCCCATATACATAAGGTGGGATCCAAGAATAGGGCTGGCTGAGGGCAACGGAACGTCCCAGAATTGCTGCACTTGAACTGATGACAGGCTTTACCTTAGACTCCTACATATTCCTGGTGAGAGCCTTGAATCTCTCTCAGTTTCTGCAGAGCAACTGACTCCATTCTGGCAGCCCAGGAAGTCTTGGGTGCTAGATGTGTACAACTAACAATTCTCCGAGTTGTACAGTGACATAGAGTGCAATGTATGTGCCCCACTGCGGCCCCGGGGAAGGCCAGAGGGGCCCCTCCTTCTGGGGGGACTTGTTTCCGTTTCTCAGGGCTAGGTTATGGGCCTTTTCCTCTTTCCACCTGGGCCTAGCCACCACCTGTCTTTAATCCCAGGGTCTGCACCCCGTCCTGAGGTTTACTAGCTGGATTGGTTCCTTGTTGAGAAACCAAAGCTAGGCGTATGATTGACCTAACTATTTAGATATTGTTCCTTGAGTCAGTCAAGCACTTAGCCTCACCCACCTACCATCTCTCCCTCCCCTAGCCTACCCGGTAGTCCTGGCCAAGGAAACAAGGCCCGCCCCGTTCCTCCTGGCCCACCTGGGCTGTTATTGGTGGCAGCTGTTCTGCCTTGGAGCAGGTGGTCCTCAATTGCTTGTTAGTAAATGCATGTGACATCGTTCCCACCGACAAGGCTGAACTCTGAGAGCTGGAGTGCGCTCTGAGGCTGTCTCAGGTAGGCTGAGCCCTGCCCCTGTTGCATGCATTCTGCTGCCACAAAGAAATGTTCCCAGCAGTGGTGTCCAGCTGGCCCTCCTCTCTTTCGGGGCCGCAGTGCGCCCATGGCCTGCTAAACCAATCCAGATCTACCCCGCAGGCCCCAGTGCTGAGAGGGGTGAAGCCCTGGTAAGCTGTTGACCACCCCCGCCCCCACGTCCTGCCACAGCATCTCAGCCGCTGTCCTGAGGCTGAGCACGGGAAGGCCTGTTAGCCATTGTCCTCCTTGACTCCTGATTGTTAGCCTTTGCAGGCAGCAGGCTTTCCTTTAGGACCCCATCAGTGAGAGGCCAGGGAGGCTGAGCCCTGAGCTGAGAATGGGAGGAGCAGAGCAACTGTCAAGGCTGGCCCTCGGCCCCGAACACTGACAGAGATGAGCCCTAGACTGAATCCTGCAGCAGCCCCCGGGACAGGGATGGGGCCCGTCACCCGTCTCCAGGTGGCAGAGTCCCTCCGCATCCTCCAGCCCACCTTGTTTGGAAATACTGAGCTATACTTTAAAACGTATTCGAGAGATTTCCAATAAATTTTTTCTGTACTTGACAACCTCCTGTCCTGCCAGTTGTCTAAAGTGCTAACCCACGCGCTCCCGCTTGTGTGTGGGCCCCGCTAACCGACGGCCCCTCCGTGGGAGGAAGAGCAGTGGATGCGAAGTGCAGAACGGCTTCGGAGTCAGGCAGGCTGGTTTGCATCTTGGGGCTCGGCACCACCTGGCCGCAGTGCCACCTTGGGTTGATCAGGAAACTTAGCGCCTCGTTTTCTTGGCTCTGCCGTTCCCATTTCAGGGGCTTGTATGTGACTGGTCAGTGAGATACCTGCGTGTATACACGCAGAGCAGAAGCCCCCCTTAGACGAAGGCCAGCATCGTCATCAGCTGCTTGTGCAGTGTCACTCCCCCGACTCGGCCTGGAGGCAGGAGCCTTTGGCTCGAGGAAGAAATGCCTGCCAGGCCTCTGCCACGCTTCCAGGAGGAGCAGGGCAAGGGGGCCTCCCTCAGCTGCTGGGATCTGTTTGCTAATCTAGGGGGAGGCAATGTGGCTGAGCAAACCAGAGGGGAAGGGGCTGAGTGAGGTATCAGGAAGTCAAGGGCCCATTGAGTGTGTTTAGCTGCCCCATCTGCCAGACAGCTCGAGCGGGGCGCCGGGGTGCTCCCTGAGGAGTCATGATGACGAGTAGAAGAGCCCGTGGGGATTATTCCTGCCTGGCCCCCCGGGGGCTTCTGTGGCAGGCCTGTCAGCCCTGGTAAAGCTAGCTCCTGCCTCCTAACTTGTGCCTAACTGGGCTACGGGAGTGGGAGGTGGAGCCAGTGTCCCAGAGGCAAAGATGGTTCTAGAGGCAAGGGACTAACTGCCTGACAGACGGGGGCAACGGTAGTGTGGGTTGCCTCCCTGCCCCCACTTCAGGCTAAAACCAGGGCAGAAAACGGTGAGAAAGTTCTAAATTCAGCCCAAAGCTAGGGCTGAAAATGGTGAGAAAGTTCTGGAGGCTGCTCACTGCTGCTGCTGTGGGCCCTGGGAGCCCTAGCTTGTTGGTTAACTGCACCTGACATTGGCCGTGATAACTGACCGTGCAGCTGGCTGGGACAGAGTCACCCAGCTACTGAGTCAGAAGTGGTGAAGAGACTGTCCCTTGAGTCTTCACCTTCAGTTGGGATCCGCCCCCCAAAACAGTGTTCACTTGCCACGTCTCATGATGGTGTCCTGCCCCTTTAAAGCGTCTCGTGACGCTTGGTCCCCAGACACCTGCTGTTGCCAAGGCAGGGGTAAACTGGCTTTTGAGTCGCTCCGCAGAGGCCCTGCCAGGAGCCCAACCCGAGTAAACAGCTCTCCTGGTCTGCTCCCCTCTCGGAGTTGCCCTGGGATACTGCTCCTCTCTTGTAAGCAGTCACCCAGTTTAGAGCCGAGCCGGTGAGAGGCTGCCAGGACCTTCTGCTGGGGCCAGCTCAGGGCCTGTGTTTGTCACCACCAGCTTCACACCGCTGCTTGATCCTGCAGCTCTGGCCCCGCTCCCCCAGCCAGAGCAAGCAAGGAGGGGAAAGAGAACAGGCCACCATCACCTGACTCATCAACAGGCAGGCCGCAGACAGGTGCAACTTGACACTGACCGCTGTGCCAAGAGAAATTCTGGCCTGCCCTTCCAATGACAAACCATTATCTTTAAATTGTGGTAAAATACACATAACTTAAATTTTGCCATCTTAATGTTTAAAGCACAGCAAAACCTAGTCAAGAGACGAAAGGAAAACTGGCTCTCTCCTAGCCTCGGTGGGACCAGGTGGCAGGTGGAAATGGCCAAGGCGCTCAGGCTGAGGGGAGGGTGGGGAGAAGCTAACAGTCACACGAGGCTTCCAATCGTAGCTGCTACGATTGGAAGGTTGTGACCATCTCCTCATTCCTCTGTGCAACAGTGGTCATTCTGGTCACCACTGGGCACTTGCTCTGTTAGTCCTGTGTGTGTCACTTCAGAGCCTCAGAAATGAAGAGACCGTTACAGGTGGGCTGATGATATGGTTGTTATCAAGCGGAGCTGGTCGAGGGTGATGGCACCAGGACTCAAGCCCATGTTGCTCTCGCCACAGTCCCTTCTGTTCAGGGCCAGAAGAGGCTGTGGTCATGGGGTACCGCCCTTGGTGGCCCATTGGGATGCTGCACACGTACAACATGGGGTCACTGTTCACACGTCCAAGCCTGGAGGACGTCAGAAAGCCGGCTTCACACCCACTCCCAAGGGAACGAGACAAGGACGAGGTCAGACGGACTGGGGAGGGGGACTTCCTGAGGCCCCACCTGCTCATCTTCCACAACCACACTTCCCAGCCTGTTCTGAGCCTCCAGGCGTGCTTCCCAACACCCGGGGGGCGGGGGGCAGTTTTCCATCTCCTTTTTTATTGAAATACAAAAAGTGCAAAGGTGAAATACATGATTGGTGCCCAGGAAGTCACTGTGAATGTGAACACTTGATTCACAGTACTCTCCCCCTCCCCCTGGGGACAGACCAGTGGGACAGGGGACAGGAGAAAGACCAAAGAGATCTATGAGGCTCCCCAGTAAAACGGGGCTGTGCGTTAACACCTGGTACACAAAGGAGGGCAGAAAGCAGAAGCCCGGCTCAGGACAGAGACACGGACTGACAAGGAACCAGCAGCCACTCCAGGCCCCCAGGAGTCCTGACATGCTAGCACCCTCGGGAGAGAGCCCAGTGAGGTCAGGACTGAGGCCGCACCCACCGCGCAGATGGGGCTGGGCTGGTCAATGAGGGCCCCCACGGTACAGACTCTGGCCAAGGCTAGGGGGGCAGGGCCACTGTGCAGGTACTTCCCTCTGCTGCCAGGGGACAAGACTGCAGGAAGTGGGGTCCCCGGGGTTCACCAAGAAGGCGTGTAATTCTAAGGAACACAGTTGGAATGAGAAGTACCAATGATGGGGGTCCAGGGTTTCTTAAAGACGACAGGGCCCTGGGGGACTTTGCTAGAACTCCCCCGGCAGGGGTTGACTTAATTAGCAAGGTCTCTGCTCAGCCCCTCCAGGAGTCACTAGCTGGAGGAAGAAGCCACAGATCCTGAGGCACTGAGTCGCTTCTGGCCGGAGCAGGGACCTGTGTGACCCCACCACAGACCCGCCTACGAGTGCTTAGGCTGAGGAACTGCGAGAGTGGGAAGGGAGGGGAGGCAAGGCATGGGGGGCTAAGACTGCTTGTCACTGGCCCGACCAGACACAGGGGGCTTCTGGGTAGGAATGGAGTGTCTGTTTCAGATGGATGCTGGGACTCAGCCCTATCATCCAAGCTGCCAGTCCTGGCAGAACCAGGGGGCAGGAACATCCTGGGGGCAGTATCACTTGAGAAGGGCTGACCCAGGATGTGTGCAAGAGAAGGAGGCAGAAGTAGGAAGCAGCCTCTGGCCTTGCCAGTCCTTAGCTGTGTCAACACCCAAGGCTGAACCTTCAGAGGGGAGGACAGGAGCAGATGCTTTGCGCACAGGCCTTCACCGAGGCGGGGAGGTGCGTTGGTAGGGCGGGCCCAAGCCAGCCCAGCTCAGCTGCTTACCCCCCAGCAGCCAGGAAGGGGACCAGCCCCAGCTACCAGCCCAGCTGGCATGACAGAGGCATCTGCAGTTGCCAGGAAAAGAGAGGCAGGGGAAAGTGGGGAAGCAGCTGCTGGGGCCAGTCTTTTTCCCCACTGGAAGAGCCAAGGCCAGCTCTGCAGAGCCTGGCAAGGAGCCAGGGATCCAAGGAGGCAGTGAGAAGTATAAGGCGAAGAAAAACGTCTCGTGGTTATAGCGAGGACTCCAGGGCTGGCGAGGCGGGCTGGACAGAAGGGGAGGAAGAGCTGCCCGGCTGGCTGGCCCCAGCTTCCAGCCCGCAGGGGCTCACAGCCCCTTGCTGGGCAGGAGCCCCAAGCTCCGATAAGGCTGAAGCCAGGAGGAAGAGTCCCAGTTGGGGCTCTCCGAGAAGGGGCAGCAGGGCAGGGCTCAGAGCCCCCTGGAGTCAGGGCTGGGGAACAACTCCCCTTGGTGATCCAGAAGGAACTTGGTGAACGTGTTGATGGGATTAATGGCCTTGAGGGTGATGGCAGCATCCTTGGCCCACAGCAGGTTAGGGCCAAAGACAACAGCCAGGTTAGTGTTGGTCATCTTGTTCTGGTCACAGTGGGCAGAAATCTGTGGAGGGAATCAGGGGCTACAGCAGGAAGCCACAACCCTGCTTCCCATACCCGGGAGCAGAGGGGTGGAGGCCCCTCCCCTCCCTCCTCCAGGTGAACAGCAGAGGCTGAGGCCCCGGGCTCACCTGCACCAGGAAGGCAGTGAGGAAACGAAGCACCTGGTAGCTCTCCTCAGGCAGCGTCCGGAGCACCTGCAGCGTCGCTTCCACTCTCTGGCTCTCATCAATGTCTGCAAGGAACCAGGGCCCAGGTCACAGTGGCCCGGCGCTGGGCCGACACGAGGCCAGAGGGGAGACCCCACACAGACTGTCCTTGGAGGACAGGCCAAACCTGCCTGCTCTGAGTCCAGCCCTGGCTCCAACCCAGCAGAAAAAACACCGAGCTGGGGAGGGAAGACGGGCACTCACTGAGGAAGCCCACAACGTGGGGGTAGAGGTCAAAGGTGAGCAGGGGCTCAGGAAGCTCCCGGAGGAAGGTCTTGAGGATGACAGCTGGCAGGTGCAAATCATTGTACTGGTCGAAGTCCACTGGCAGCCCTGGAGGAGGGGGTGGAGAGGAGCTGGGCCTAGCCTGGAGGCCGGCAGCCCATCTAGAGGCCTGGAGGCCAAGCAGACCCCACTGCCCGCAGCCACTGCACCAGCCCCCTCCTCCCGTGGAGCCTCCTCTTGCACAGGCCTTCCCCTCTTGCTCTGTGATGAGGGGACCGGGTAGAATGGGGCCTCCCAGCACACACTACAGTGATTCCTCGTCTCTGAATGAACCTGGAACCCAGGACCCGGAAGCCTGAGCGATGAGGCAGCAGGCCTGGGACAGCCAGGCAGGAGCAGGACCCATGCAATCAGCCCAAATGCCACAGAACCTCTGACAGGAATGGAACGTGGGGCCCCTGTTTACGGGGGAGAAGGCAAAGAAGCCCCTTCACAGTCACACTGATGCCCCCATCCTCCCCCCACCCCTCCACAGGATCTGTACCGGCCCTGCGGGCCTGGGCACACCCCCAGACCACTCACCCATGTTGTACTTCTGCTGTACTTCCCGTACGACTTGGGTGTTGGCTGACCTCCGGAAAATCCCCTCAGTGGTGAGAGCTGGGAAACAGCGGGGCCCGGTGAGTCTCGGCTCTGGGGCAGGGTGTAGACGCCTGGACCCGCTCTGTCTCAGGGCTCCAGGCAGGGTCGGTGTGGGCGCTGGTGCACGTGGGGCCTCTCAGCCCTGCCCGGCACCTTCCCGAGGGGAGCTGGGAGACAGGGCTGAGGAGGGGCCTGGGGTCAGGGCTGAAGGGGAAGGGGCAGGTCCTGGAGGCCCTGTGGCCAGTGAGCGGCCTTGGCACTCACCGTGGGCCTGCAGGTAGGCAACGGTCTCCCGGAGCACAAGCGGAACGGGCTCCTGCTCTGGGTTCTTCTCCTGGAGGCTGTTGGGAACAGGGGCAGTGAGCGGGGGTCTGAGCGGGGTCTGCCACCCTCTGCAGCCCCCACGTGCCAGGCCTGCCCACCTCTCCTATACTCACTGCTGCAGCGAGACCCCGAACTGCTGGTTGGGCAGAGGGGGCCGTGGCGGCATGGGCTTGGGGGCCGTGGCAGGGCTCTTCTGTGTGGATTTGAGGAAGTCATCATACCTTGGGGAGGCAGATGGAAGGGTCAGGCCGCCGACCTGACTTTGTAGTCACCTTGTTTGTCAGGCCCTTACTGTGCTCCTGCACAGAGTCACTTCGTTCGGCCCTCCTACCAACCCTGCTCTGCCCACAACCAAGTCAGGGCCGAGGAGCTCTTTAAGCGACAGAAGCAGGATCCGAACCCGCGCTCCCTGACCCCGTGCATGGGCTCTTCATCACTACCTTCACTTCCTCTGCTCACCCGGGGCTTCTCGAGGCTCCATCTCCCCTTGGCTGGCATGTTCTCCCCCCCGCAAGCATGACACACCCGTATACCTAGCCCGGCGGGCACACACAGCCCCTGCCCCCGCCTCACTTGAGCACTTGGCGAGGGATCCCCAGTTGCTCCAGCTTCACATGCTCGCTCAGCTCGCTCAGGTAGTTCACATAGAAGATCTTCTGCCCAAATTTGAAGCTACCGGCAGAATAAAGGGCACAGGTAGGCATATTTCGGCAGGCCTCCACCATCCCCTCAGCAGCCCCCCAAGATCAGACAACAGCTGAGCCCCACAATGGCCTGTCTCCAGGATGCTTGGCCTCCTCAGGTATCTGGTTCAGAGTTCAAAGGGAAGCATGGGGAGGCCACTGTCCTCCCCCATCAGCCCCACTCACCTAATGATGGGCTTAAAGAGGATAAGCAGGGTCTTGATGAACATGGTGGGGTGCACGATGTACAGGGCCTTAATATTCTTCTTGTACCTGCAGGGAGACAACAGGAACTCAGCAGCGGGTGTGCTGGGAGAGGCACAGAGCTAGGTTCTCCAGGTACATTTTCTGATTTGTGTCCTCAGGGAAAGCCTGAGAGGTAAGTGCCGTGGTAGTCCCATTTTACAGATCAGGAAACAGACTCAGAGAGGTTAAGTACCATGAAAGATCACAGACCGAAAAGTACAGAGACTGGGATTTAAGCCCAGGGTGTTCCAACTTCAGATTCTTTGCTTTCACCCAGGTGGGGGCGCCTGCCTCCCCCCAGCACAGAGTAAGCCCCTGAGCAAGCAGAGGGCAGCCTGGAACCTAGCAGAGCTGCTGGCTCCACAGCCCCCTGCCCCAACCCACTTGCGGTCAAACTCGCGGTAGGCATCCCGGAGCCAGCTGAGGGAGGGCTTGTTGTCACTGGTCAGGCCGTGGTGCAGGTAGAGCAGCGTGTAGTCGCTCTCCACGTACTGGTCCAGCGTGCGCTTCAGGTACCTACAAGAGCAAAGCCCCACTCGGTTCAGGAGGGTCCCCCGGAGACACGACCCGGCACCCCGGGGGTCCCCTGCTTCTATCCTCCGCCTCGGTGTCCTGCCCGTTCTGGCTGCACAGTCACCCGCTGCACTGTGTGGAGGAGGTTCAGGGTCGCAGCTGGGCTGGGCGGAGGAAGGAGGAGAACAGCAGTCCTGGCCAGAACCAGGAGACCAGGACTGGAACTGGAGCCCTCTGGCATACCTGCAGGAAAAATGGGAGTAACACTGCCCGCAGGACTGCCCAGAGTCGACCATGATGATGACAGTCACCATTCATCAATATTTAGCTTTTAGTGTCTGCCAAGCACTCTGCGTACATTATCTCATGCCTTCCTCGTAACAGCTGGGGCTGAGATTATCCCCTCCTTGCACGGGAGGGCAGTCAGGCTCGGAGAGGTTACGGGCTTACCCAGAGTCACACGGCTTGTGCTGGAGCCTGGAGATGAACTAACTCCCAAGTTCACCCTGCTGACCACACAGGCAGGCATGTGAAGTGTCTAATGCTGGATTATTACTGTGACTCCAGCCCTTACTGCTGTACGGTAATTTAGCCCTTGTACACTTCACAGCTTGCAAAGAGCTGCCACGTGAAAAGATGCATTTTGCAACTATAAAATAGCAAAAGTTGTAGTGACAGTACACCTCCCCTTTGCTGGATGTTATGGAGTTTTGGAGGGCCATAAAGTGATGTTTATCAGAAGCTAAAAAATGTTCACACTCTTTGACCCTGTAAAAACATATCCAGGAAGTTATCCTAAAGAAACAATCAGAAATGAACAGAAGCATTTTTGTCCAAGGCTGTTCAATGCAGCCTGTTTTACAATGGAAAAAACATTTTTTTGAGCAGCAAGCTAACTGTCCAAAAACAGGGAACTGGTTAAATAAGTTACAGGCCATCTATAAATAGAATACCTCACAGGATGTTTCTGCAGACAGAAGCAATCTGTGAAGTTAGGTGTCAGGAGAGTGGTTACCCTTTGGGGAAGCAGCTAGAAGAACAAAGGGAGGCCTGTGGGTGTGGATGGGTGTATTTAGTTTCTGAAAATTCATCAAGTAGTATGACAATTTACTTTTCCGTACACATGTATGCCAATAACATGTTTTTAAAAGATGTCTTTGAAGCGTGTTTAGTGTTCAGAAGATAACGTTATGTGAAATACAGAGGTGACTATACAAAGGTCTATATGAGTTATAGAAAAAGGTGAATACATGAAAATATTAACAGCAGTTTTTTTCTCTGGGTGGTAGGTTCATGGGAGATTTTGTTTATCATTGCCTATATTTTTTCTTTATAGTTACATTTTTCTAAATCCTTGAAAATCTGTAATACCTTACAAATGTATATGAGGGCATTTCACGTATATTATCTTACCCAATGCCCATGACAACCCTGTGAGATGGGCACAATTCTTATTTTTCTAGGGTTCAGAAGAGACCTGCCCCCAAACACACAGCTAGTAAGAGGCACAGTGAAGTTGAACTGGTCTTCTGAATTCAAGCTTCAGGCACTTTCTCTTTCAACCCCCTAGATGTGGCTGGACAGTGGGAAAGGCCAAGGCTGTGATAATGGAACTGATCTACGTGGAAAGCGCTGCCCCCACAGGCTGCGTGGGGGCAGGGAGACCCCTCCGGGAAGGGATGGAGGATGGACAGGATGGATGTCGGGGAGCTTCCAGAAGTCAGAGGAAGCCCCCCGAGTGGTGCAGACTCACTCAGCAAGCTCTCTCCTGAAAACTGGGTGCTTTCCCAGTTCCCTCCTCTGACTTCCTCCCACTCAGACTATTCTCTGGCCAGGAGTCTGTCACCTGCCAACTCAGTTGCTGGTGAAACCAAAGGGTAGGGTGTGTGACTCAGCTACCCTCAGGCTGAGCTCCCTGGCCTGTTCCTGGCTGGGCCATGGGATGGGCCTCAATAAGGCTCTGTCTGCCCAGCTGAGGGGTGACAGGAGCAGGGCTCCGAAAGCCTGAGAGAAAACTCCCACAGGGCTGGAGAGCCTCAGGCCTGACTCACCAGGACTGCAGACTCCTCACTCAGGCCCTTCCCCTTCTGCAGCCATCCCTGACCCCTCCCCTCCCCCTACACACACACATAACCATTCAGGATCCCAAAGGGCTGGTATGAGCAGTGCAGACGCTTTCAGTTTCAGGGAGTGCTTTAAAGAGATCAGGAAAGAAGTGCAAGGGGCTAACTGGACATGCACTAAGGCGCCTCAGGAGAAGTCCGTTAGGGCTCCACCTCCATGGAGGTCCGGTGCGTGCCGGGGGCCCACTGGTGGCTCAATAACGACTGCTTATCAGAACAGGGTCTGTCAGGGGCGCCTGGGTGGTGCAGTCGGTTAAGTGTCCGACTCTTGGTTTCAGTTCAAGTCATGATCTCAGGGTCGTGAGATCGAGTCCCATGCTGGGCTCTGCACTTAGCACAGAGTGTGCTTATTCCTCTCCTTCTCCCGCCCCCCCCCGCCGCCCCTTCTCTGTCTCTCTGAAATAGATAATTAAAATCCTTATTTTATTTTTTTTTAAAGATTTTATTTATTTATTTGACAGAGAGCACAAGGAGGCGGAGCAGCAGAGGCAGAGGGAGAGGCAGGCTCCCCACTGAGCAGGGAGCCCGACATGGGGCTCGATCCCAGGACCCTGGGATCATGAGCTGAGCTGAAGGCAGACACTTAACCGACTGAGCCACCCAGGCGCCCCATAAATAAAATCTTAAAAAAAAAAAAAAAGAACAGGTCTGTCAAACTCCTGCTTGCAATCAGCTTTCCAACTGGCATCAGATTTCTAGACCAACCAGAGCTATTCCATATATTTGCTAACAGAACCCAGACAGGTACAGAGGCCACTGGCTCCAAATAACACTAATCATTCATGTAAATGATGAACTGCAAGCACAGCAGAAGCGCTGCATCATAACCATCAGTCCGCACCCAGGGATGGTATTTTACTTTTCCAAGCGTGTTCGTGTGCAGTATCTCCATTCTACAAGGAAGGAGGGCTGCGTTTTGATGCCCTCGGTGAAGGAAAACTGGCTTAAAGAAATGAAGACACCTGCCAAGGTTGCAGTTTCCCGGCCTAGAAACCAGGTCAGACTCTTAGCCCAGTGCTCTCCCCCAAATGTAAAGAATAGCTCCCTCGGGAGTAGAGGGGAGGCGTGGAGGGAGACGGCTTGATACCTCTGGGCTGGAAGTGACAGGAAGGAGAATGGCATCAGGTGATGGGGGGTGTTGGGGGGTCTGGGCACCGGTCCCACCACCTTCCCCATGGATACTCACCCCAGGAGTTTGCTGTGGTCCAGCTGGTGGCTCGGGGGCATTCGGCAGGCACTAAACACAATGATCTTCCGCCCATACTTGTCATCTCCTAGGTGTGGAGAAAGATGGAGCGGTGAGTGGAAGATCAATGGAGAGAAGCGGGGTGAGGAACTGAAGGGTGCCAGGCCTGGAGACCCGTGCCATGCAGTACAGGGGCCAGAGCGGCTGAAGTGGAGCCACCTCTGGGCAGCTGTCTGCACTCAAACATGTGTCGCTGAAGAAAGAGGGACAGGTTGCTCTCGGGGCTACTGAGCTGGGGTCTAAAAAAGTAACGTGACTTTGTAAAAAGTCACACCTGGCAGAAACATCCACATGCCCATCAATGCGTGAATGGATAAAGAAAATGTGGTGTATCCGTGCAGTGGGATATAAGTTGGCCATAAAAAGGAGTGAAGTACTGATCCATACTACGTTGTGAATGGACCTTGAGAACATGGTGCTAAGTGAAAGGAGCCAGACCCCAAAGGCTACCTATTGTATGACTCCGTTTATAGGAGTTTATCTAGAATAGGTAAATCCACAGAGACAGCACATTAGTGGTTGTCAGTTGCTGGAAGAGGGGAGATTACGGATTGGCTGTTTATGATTATGGGATCTGGCATGGGTATGGATGAAATTGTGCGACTAGACAGAGGTGGCTGCACCCCACTGTGAATGTCTGAAATAGCACCGATTGCACATTTTAAAATGGTTAACTAAAAAAACTGAAAGTCACATCCACCAAAGCAATTGTTACCTTGTGGAACAGTCATCTTAAAAGCCCATGCTTATTCCAGAAGCACCCCCTCTGAGCAGCGTGTATTTGGAAAACGTCTTGACACTGCCTTCTCAGCAAGTCCAAGGCCAAGGAGGACACGGGAGTGATTACTTAATGGTCAGGTCTCTTTTTTGACCACTAGCAGTACTTTCTGATTGTATTACTAGGATTATTAACCACACTTGGTTCTGATTGACTTCTGGACATTTCTAAAAATCATATCCTTTATCATGAATGATATTCTAAAGAACATGGAGTTCAGAGGAGTTTGTAATGCTTTGGGAAAAATGCTCGTTTGGCTGTAATTGCTCAGGGGTGTTCATCCCAAACTGGTCACTATTTGATGGTCTGATCATCTGGCTTTGTCAAGAAGCGGGGAGCTCCTGCCCTCCAAGATGAGATGTTCTTCCAGTGTCAAGACGGATCAGGGATACCAAACAAAGCTCGATGAGGACAAGGCCTGGTCCCCACTCTCCCACGTCCCAGGAACCCTCCCTACATCTTTACCTTCACACCTCTCCAGAGACACCAAACCACACTTGCCTAATCCCCATTGCTTCAGAGGCAAATGAAAATACCAATACAGCCCAGAAATGCATGGAGTCTGTCCTCCACCTACCTCTGAGGATTAAGGACCACCCCCCCCATGCCTTGCTGAGCGTCCTTCTCCATATTTAGTAAACCATGATCTTGATGCTTCTTCTTGGTCAGAGACCTAACCCAGGAGTCAGTACTTTTCCAAAGTGGTTGCCAAGGCTCTGACCCTTTTCTGCAGGGCTGAGGCAAGACTCATCAGAGGGGCTGAAGGAGGCTTCTGGAATGTGGGCAGCGTGGCTCCAGGCGCTGCTGGCTGCACGGCTTGGTGCTTTGGCCTGATTTCGCACCTCAGTGCCAGCAGTCTATCATGTCCAACCTCTAGATCAGCCCCTCCAACAATCCCATTTCCACCCAAAACACCCCCTGAGCCTAGTTCCATCCTAAACTGCCCGCAAGTTCTAGCCTTGGAGAATTATGAACACCTACATGCCCCCAACTCTCCTGCCTGGAATCCTCCATTCCCCCCAAACTCTACCCCAGATAAACAATCTGGGCCCCCCAACCTGTAGATGTTCTTTGGAATGATTCATAGGACTTTCCAGTCTCACAGCATGCACACCTGCAACACAGATGTGCTTGCAACCTAGTCCATACCAGGCAGTTTCGGGCCTCTGCTGTTTCTCTTGCCAGCAAAACTTCTCAAGACAATTCCACAACCCTCCTCCAGGCTAACTCCTTGGAATCCTTAAGACTCGTTCCAGGCATGATCTCCTCCCAGAAGCCTGTGTCCTCCCCACATTCCCCCAGATAGGTTGGCTGTCCCTTTTGAGGGCTCCCAGTTTGAACAATCACCCATCTCTGTCGTGACACTTTGATTCTTCTGTAGAATTGTTTATGTGCCTGTCCCCTCTACTGGCTTATGAGCAGGAATTATGTCTCATCCATCTTTGAAACTCTAGTGCTGGTCCAGAGCCCAGCACGTGGCAGGTATTCAAGAAACACTGGAAGCCTGCACAAAGTCATCGGTCAGCATTATATGGTATGCCTGGTTCTATTTCCGAGTTTGCTCACAATGATATCTAGGTTACGAGACTGCTTTAGACAGTTTCCCAAAGCCTGGGACAGAGGCTCTCCAGACTTATGAGCAGAGAACCCTCTGCAAGCCCGCCTGAGAAGGTGCAGTTTCATCCAGAAGCAGGTGTATTTTGAAGGAGCAGATGCTACCTGCTTTCTGTCACACCCTCACCTAGATCCTGAGGTGCTGGGTTCCCTCCAGCCCAGTGGGGGTGGCTCTCAGGCCTGTTCTGATCTCTTCCCATAGGCTCTGACAGAAGAAGCAGACTGGTGGAGCAGGGACAAAGGGTCAGTCTGGCCAAGCTAGCCTCATGTACAATCTGGAACCTCAGAAACCCCTGGGTCTTCTGCCATGAGCCTGTGAGGAGAGGGACATCTGCCTACTCCCCTCTAAGCAGAAGAAAGACCCGGAATGTAGGGGAAAATGCAGGGAGGAGCATGGAGCATTCCAAAAGATTCTTTTCATCCTCCCCCCAACATGGAGGCAGCCCTCATTGGCTGACAGGTTTGAGGGCTTAGGCAGGATGGAAGTCTGAGCTCACAGGGCTCTGGAATTTAAAAAGCTAGTAACTGGTTAAGCAAGCAATTGCTTAACCAGAGGTGAGGGGCCCGTGGCTCCATCTCTCAGCTGGCCTCAACACCTCGTAAATGGGAAACTGCATTCTCAACCAGGGCTCCACCAAGGCCATGATGATAAATGAAAAATACTACAAACACATGCACATATACCCTAGAAGAGGTCCACATCGCTCATATTCTCAAAAAGGACTCGGACCAGTTCTAAGAACCCCTTCACTGGACTGTCTGCTCCCTGATGGAAGTAATGTGTGTTTTTCCTCAGTGAATCCTCCATGCTGACTATGGGGCTTAAAAATACCTGTTGGATTACGTTGAACAGGGATGGGGCCAAAAGGTGGATCGGTGAGGGGCTGGATGGCAAGACTCTCAGACAAGCAAGGAACGAGATGCGGGTGACCCCAGGGCCTAGCCCCTGTCCTCCCCTCCTTGGAGTGGAGTCCCGTTACTCAAATTCTTGGGTAGCCTGGCATCTGCCAGCAGACAAAGTAACTGCCGCTACGTGAAGCAAGTGTGAAAAGGCTGGGAACTTCCCTCCTGACCTCAGAAGAGAACAGACTTCTGCCCTGGAGACTAAAGGGAGAGGAGCTGGGTGCACTGGTGTCTCCAGGGCACTGGGGGAAGGGCTCAATGAGAAGACACGGCATTTGTGGAAAACACCAGGAAAAGAGCAAGCTGCCTGGGAAGGGAGCCTCTGCATTCCCGGGATACCAATCAGGAACGCTCCCAGGGTGGCCTGGGTGTTAATTAGCAACAGTGCAGTCCTCCAGCAGGCATTCTGGGAACCACCAGACCAGCCACCACCTGCCCACAACCTGCAGAGCAGGCCCAGGGGATGGGAGGTGGGGGCTGGGGCACTGGCTGGGGCCGGCTCACACATTTGTTAAATTGTTAAGTGGTCAGGAATACTGCAGCCAGTTGACATCGTGTTGGTGCTTGAAATCTGCTGTGGTAGAAATTACAAATGCAACAAATAAATAATAGCCTTTTTTCCCCCCTCCCTTTCCAGAGAGCGAACTGTTAAATGTTTGCCAGCATACCACTGGAAAGAACCCACTCGGACTGAGTCAAGTTTGAATGTAGAGCATGACAGCTACCACCAGCATGGAGAAGAGAGGCTGCAGAGGAGTTGGGGACATCACCCCCCCATCCTCCATTCCAACATGGGCTCTTTCTCCAGTTTCTAATGCCGGGAAACTGGCTTCCCAGGAAGGACATCACCATGGTCTCGTCAAAACGACTCCTGCTCTGGTGGTGCCAATCCACACTCTTCTCAGCAGTCAGAGAGGCACAGCCATGGGGACAGCCCCACCAGAGGGGCCCTGAACCAGCACTAAGGCCAGCCCCTCCGTACCCCCCACCATGGGACATGGCCCCTCCATCCCCAGAAGCCCCTTTCCCTTTGGGCTCTGGATGTGTCCCCACACGGCACCACCCTGTCAAACCTCCTGTAAACCCTTTGCTAGTTCTGGCTCCCAGGTACCATCAGCTCCCAGCTCCCTGGAGTGGGGCTGCAATTAAGCTGGCCCCACCTGGCCTCCACCAAGAGCCCCTCTTGATCCACAGCCCAGAGGCCAAGCACAGAGAGCCAGAAACACACCTACCTGGCTGGGCCCCCTCAGGCTCATCACACCCTGGGGAAACAGAAACATGTTGCAGCTCTGCTTGCAGTGGGGAAAGGGGTCACCCAGTGCCGGGGTGGGGGTGGGGGTGGGCCCCCCCTGCTCTGCCTTGTGCCTTGACCAGGAGGATAGAGACTATGTTACATCACATCAGATACCCACCCCCATGCCCCAATCAGGTCCATTTCTGGAAGTGAGGAAAGAAAGTTCTGAACCTTCGGTGACTCTCCTGTGCCCACGTGAGGACCAGGCCGGGAAAGAACTCTCAACCTTGCTTCTGTAGGGGTGAAAGAAGCCACAGCCAAGGCATCTGACTCAGCCCAGGACAGGCACCAGGAACACAAATGCCATGGAAACACCTCTGATATTAGGGGCAAATCTTTCAACTGCCCCCTCCCTCTCTGAGCCCAGCATTCAGAAGAGATAGAGCTCCCTGTGGCTTCCCTATGGCCAGATGCCTGCAGGGCCCCCTTAGCCAGCACCACTGGGCTCCAGGGCCATGTGCTGCCTGGCCTCCTTTGCTCACCCCAATGCCTCAGAGCAGGGCCATGCTGTCATCCTGGCTCACCGTTACCTGTCCTCCACCAGTGAGGATGGACAACCATTAGGGAGAAGACAAAGAATCCTACCACTCTGATTTTCTCTTCTAGTAGTAGTAGGACCTTAAGGGCAGAAATTGGTCACCAACATCCTTGTTACCTCCCCTGCTCTGGGTCCTGCGTTATGAACAAGAAAGTGAGAGCTCACTGAGGCCAAGACCCAAGGCAGGGGCTCCATACCCACGCTCAGCACGGTAGCACATCTGCCAGAAACCTGATGCTCCAGGGGGTCATGGGGCCCCTAACTTCTGGAAGGAGGCTCTGCCATTCCAGACTTCCCTGGAGGTAGGGTTCCCCCCAAAAGGAACTGGTACCTCCCTGGTCCCCAGTAACTGATGGGGTGGAAAAGCTGACATCAGGGCAAAGGGAAGGGAGGTTAGTGGCCACTTATTCGGGGTCAACTATGTTCTGGCTCCCGGCTAGACCCTGACAGACACTCGCTACTATAATCCTCTCAGCGACCCTGTGAGGGAGAAAGGAGTTCAGAGAGGAGAGCTGGAAATTAAACCACTCTCTGACTTCAAAGGCACTAAGCCACACTGCCTCCCACACACCATCAGCCAACAGAGACAACAGGGTCAGAGGTCAGGATGTGGTTGCTGGTGGAGAGACCAAGTGGCCATCACAATCAAGTCTGTGATTTTAAAAAACGGTACGTGTGGCTCAGGAGCCCCAGGGTCAGGGGTGAGACCACAGGGCGGGTGCCCGCCCCTCCCCCAGTCCCTTCCCCTGTGGCCCGAGGGGCGGGCTTCCTCAAGCCGGGAGGGCAGACCAGGAGGCAAAAGGTGCAGTGCTCACCTGCCACCTCCACAATCTGGTGCCGGGCAATGTCGTAGTAAGGGTCATCCCACTTCAGGTGAGTAACAGGTTCCGGGGAACTGCTTTTGGAGTCATCTGAGGAACACCGCAAAGTCAGGGGATAACCTGGGGGGCTGGCAGTGTTCTCCCTGAGACTGGTGTTCTTTGATCCTCCTCCCCCGTAGGACATGTGCCCCCAACCCCACCCGGGGCTGGTCTGCTTGCCCTCCTCTTGCTCTCCTGGGGTCTCCCTTCAACAGGAAGGGAGACTCCCCTTCTAAGGCACCGTAGGGCCGCCTGAGATGCAGACGCACCCACCTGACTTGGGAAAGTCAGGCATTTCGTCCGATGGCCAGTTCTTCTCATCAATGGAGGCTAGCTTCAGCTGGTTCAGGGCCTGGCTGGTGTCATCCAAGGTCAGGTCATCCTGCAACTCCGAAAGCGGGTCCATGACCAGGCCTGTCCCCCACAGCTTCACTCCACAGAACCTGAAGAGAAACCTGGGGTGGGGGTGGCAAGTCAGGGACACCCTCGTTTCCCTTGTAATTGATACAGCAAGCCCTCCTGCTCTCACTCATTCCTCCCCCAACCTCCCCTGTTCCTGTTCCTCAACACTTCGCATCCTTGCCAAGAGCTCCATGTCACCCTGGGTTCTCCACAGTTTAGGCGTGTTGCCAGAGTAAGCAGCTGGGGCAGAGGATGGCGCAGCTCGGTGCCTGCCCTCAGGTCCTCCAGCTGGCTAGGGACGAGCCGTGCCAGGCCCTGTGCTGCCCACTGCCCATCTGGTACAGTCATGCAGTCCCAGCTGCAGGGGGAGAAAAGTCCACGCCCCTCTCCTCAGGGGTCATGGAGCACAGAAGCTTCCCAGGCCCCAACAGTTACAGAGGAGAGGTGCTGCAAGCATCTAAGGTGTACAGGGATGTTCCAAACGCCATTCGTGAAAAAGGTTAATTGTGGCCCTGGCTACCCCACCTCTCACTTGTGGCCTGGGGAAGAGGAAGTGGCCAGAGACTCCAGGGTCCCAGAAAAAAGGCCACGGTCAAGGTGCCCAGCTGGGTTTGCCCCAGGACAGGAACAAGAAGCAAGGGATGGAATCTGCCTGCCAGTCACAGCAGATAATTTGCAGCTTCCTGGGGGCTCCCAAGCCCATTCTAATCCGCAGGGAGCTCCGGATGTAGTTTCAAGGTGGGAAAGGTCAAGAGACTGCCCCAAGGATTGGAGAGCACAGATGGGAAAGGGGGAAGCCCATGGCATCCAGAGTGCTGAGTGACAGGAGGTGAAAACCAGACCCACAGCTACAGCAGGCGGAGAGGGAGAGGAGCCAACTTGGAAGCTGGGTTTGCCCAGGTCTGGGGCTGGTAGTAAGGATGTGGCTGTGTGAAGCCTGAGGGTAGCAGCTTCTGCCCTCGGACCTAACTGGGAGCCAATCCCCTTGCCATCCCAGACTCACCATGTGGGTCAGGGAGGGGATTCAATCCACTCAGTCCAGCCCCAGAGAAGAGGCTGCTCTAAGCCACTACATTCCTGGAGCCCAAAAATGACATATATGGTCAGAGAATGGGCAGGACAGATAAAGAGTGCAGACAAGACCAGGCACGGGGTGGGAGAAGGGGGGACAGCTGCCAGCTAGGTTCCAGACGCCGAGAACCTCTGGGGTCAGAGGCAACAGGACAACCTCCAGCACCCGTCACCTCACAGCTGAGGACTCTGGATGGTAAGCCGGCCCCCTGTGCCTAGCAACAACCATCCTGTTACCGGAGCAACCACGCTGATTCAGTGGCAAAAGCCATTACAAGCTCCTGAGCCAAAGCCAAGCAGCCAAAGAGCCAAATGGCCGTAAAACAAAAACCAAAAACCAAAAAACCTTTCTCTTCCTTTCCTCCAGCCTCTTATCTGCTACCCTTATTCACTCCTGCTGCATACTACCAAAATATAAGTCCCTTCCACGAGCACAGAGAAAGATGACCCTCTTATTTGGGAACGCACTTCTCCCAGTGAGTACTGCTGTGTCCCCCGCCCCACCTCACCCATTCCCCTTCAAGCCTCCAATGCAGGCAACCCTCACTCTTGAGGAATCCACTCTTGCTTTACCCACAGGCTCCTTCCCCCATTCAGCTGCATGGCTGTATTCCCCAAAAGGGAACTCCACTAGGTAACAGGGACAGAGTTCAGCTCACAATAAACCCTGTTAGGCCTGAGCCTTCTCTCCTGTCACTCCCCAGGCACTTGATGCCCGTTAGCCCTGCCCACAGCTACCCCAGAAGTCTTTCTGCAAACAGTGGGTGCCTGACGCAATGAACAAGGCATGGGGTGAGGTATATGGAGAAGTGGATTATAGTCCTGCTTGAGCCAATGAGTTGCAAGGATGCTGGGCAAGTCTTTTTCTTAACTAGACTTAAATTTCCTTATCTATAGAAGCACAGGCTCCTCCTACACAGAAACATAACTCTCCAGTATTCTAAAATATTTGCACTAAAGTGAACAACAGGATTAGAAGGGACAGCTGCGAGCTGAAGTATGTGTGAGGGAAGGAGACGGACACCCTCTAAAGGGGAGCTGAACTTGAACTCCACCTCTTTTCCAGTAACTCCTCAATTTTGTCTGTTCTTCCAGAACTGACCCCTCCCCTATTCCATAACCGCCTTTTCCAGCAAAACTAATCACAGTTGTTTCTGCCTCCTAGCCAGACTGGCCTCCAACCCACAGCTGCTTCCCTCTGTGAGCCCTGAAGTTTAGCTCCTGCTCAGTGGGAAGGTGAGGGAAGCCAGCTCAGGGAAATTCTAATATAAAGTGGTGGAAATGAAGTATCCTGGCCGCCCAAGACTCGAGTCACCTACAAGCCCTGTTCCACTCTGTGCAAAATATTTCTTACCCTGAGATTAGTATTTCCCCTCTCCGTAGGTAAAACACCTACTTATACAAAAATCTTTGAGAATCATTTTAGGCAGAGGTTTTAACCTCTGGACTTCTCCGAAATTCTGATGAAATTTGTGGGTTTTTTCCCTAAGACAAATCAGCACATGCATGAAATCTTCTTTGCAGTTTTAAGGGGTTCACAGGCCATCTGAGAATCCATTTAAGGATCCCTGACCTATTCAGCACACAGATTGCTGTCATTTGTTGAATGACTGGATAAATGAGGTCATCTCCTAAATGGAGAAGGCAACCAGTATTTGTCGAGGGCCTATATAGCACCATAAAGTAGACAAATTACTTTTTAACTTCACAACAGCACCAGTGAGGTTTATACTACTAAGCCCATTTTACTGTTTGAGGAAAGTGAGGACCAGAAAAAATAAGCAAATTGTTTAGGTAGGTCATACAGCAGAGTCAAGGTTTTAATCTATGTCTTTATAAGGTGGTCTCTTGATGCAGGTCAATCCCTCAACATTTCTCTAAATGACTGTCATTCATGTGATTCTGAAGGTTCAGAGAGGGCCCATAAAAAGATAAAGTAAAGCCTCTCCCCTAATCTTCACATAGGGCTGAGATAACAACTTGAAATAGTATTCTCTGGCACTGGGATCACCCTCCTAGTTGGGGCCCCAGCATTGCGAAAATGCAAATTCCACGACACAATAGCAAGGCTTTCAACTACAAGTGCATTTGTCCAGAGCTTCATAGTTTGCAAAACCTGTACCGGGTGTAATTATCCCATTTCAGAGATTAAGAAACAGATGAAAGAGTGGCCTAGTTAGTGGCAGGCTGGAATACTTCCCCCAAATTTCTTGTTCGTAGAGCTTCGCCAGATCGGATCAGAGACTTCCCCTTCCCATGGGCTTGCTCGATGACTGCGATCTGACCTGGACTCTGCCCTGGGAAGTGCAGGAGGAAAGCCGCGAAGGAGATGAAGTCCCGTCACTGCAGACCCGGGAGTGGGGCTGAATCCCTGCCGTGGGAAAGTCAGGCTCCTAGGCCCCAACCCACTCCTGCTCCCACCCTCGGATCCGCTCGGATCATCCCTCTGCGGACCCTGTCCCTTCCGGTGACCTGTCTAGTCCCTTCCTTCCCACCCCCCCGCCACCACCACCCAGGAAGACCCCGCGCCCTGCAGCTCACCGTGGTCGGGCACGGCTCCCTCTGCCACGCCTGTCAAAGCTCGGCAAACATCCGGCTACGCGATAGAACGGGAACCGCCCCCTCCCGCGCTCCTCTCTCCCCAACCACTTCCGCCACACCTCCAACCCACTTCCGGTTCGCTGCCCGGTCCAAATATGGCTTTCCAGAATCCCCGCCCACTTCCTGCACGTACTGGCGCAAGTGCCGGAGGGGGGGTGAGAGGACAGCGTATATGTCCGACCCGTCCCTCCCAAAAGGAGGTGGTTGGAACAATTAGTTCCGCTTTCTCTGATGCTGGAATCCCTGGTGGTCCTCTGGAATACTATGGTTCTTATTGTTCTCGGAAGGAGTTTTGCCTCGTCGGTATTCCCCAACTCCCGGGTCTGTGCCCTGATGAGTCTGACTCTTAGCATTCTTTCCTGACAGGAAATTTGGAAGCCGATGACTGTTTCCGGGGGGAGCGGAGAAGAGGTGCTCACTTCCGACGGAAGGAGGCTTTTCTGGAGGGATGGAGGAGGCGGAGGAGCTGCTCTCCGAGGGCGAAAGACTGCAGTTCGGTTAGTGACCTGCGGTGTCTCCGACCCTCGGCCCTGGCCTTAGATAGACCTAATGTTCCCTGCCTGGTCAACTCTCTACCCCAGGCCCTTTTCTTCCCTAGCTCGGGATCCTCCTCCGGTGCCCTCAGAAGTTTCTGGGGGCTTCAGCGTCCTCGAACCCCCTTAAACTTCCGATCGGCCCATTTAGAGCCCTTATAGATCCCTCAGACTGCCAAGGCCTAGCCGGATCTGCGGTTTCCTCTCGCACCTATCCCCACCCGCACGACCTCTTGGGTCGCCCCCTCACTGCTTCCCCATCTCCCTGCAGCCCCTGACCCGCGCCTGGGCCCGGACTTGGGATGGATCCCTCCTGGACAAGGCTGTGCTCAGGGCCTCAAGGACTTCCCGCCCGGGCCGACCCGGGCCGTCCTGGCTCTAAAGAGCCTCCCCCGGGGCTTGGCCCTTGGCCCTTCAGTCGCCGAGGAACAGCGCTTAGGCGTCTGGTGTGTCGGGGAAGCCCTGCAGCCGGGACTGCTCTGGGGGCCGCTGGAAGAGGAGTCTGTATCGGAGCAGAAGGATGAAGGAGCGAAACCAAGGCAGGAGGAGGTATTGAAGAATAGGACTTGTCTTCTCCGTGACTGAAATTGCGGAAGAGGTTCAGCCATTTCTGGACAGCTCTTCAGTGAGAAGAAGCAGGGTGTTTCAAGAGATAGATGATAGTTTTGCCCCTTCTGTCCAGGACTGTCTCTTCCCCTCACTTGCAGTAGTTAAGGAATCAAGGTGCAGAAAGGTGCCGAAAGCTGGATTAGTATAGTGTCAGGAGTGATGAAAGTCAAGAGCAAAGTGGTTAGGATTAAAAAGCCATGGAATCAAATCCCAGCTTTGCCACCTAGCTAATGAAATGATATGTGTCATTTAACTCATTTAACTCATAAAGGCATGGCCGTTTTATTTTAATCTTCCAGGATTATTTGGAGCGATAGATGAAATAGTGCAGGTAAAGGGTTTCGTTGCATACTAAGTCTTAAAAGATGATGTACCTCTTAACTCCTTTTTTTTTGGTACTCACTGGAAGGCAGTAATGGGTTCAATTTAGTAATTCTCCACACAGTGGGAGGGAGGTGGGGGGGGTAGTGTTTTGGTCTTTACTGGATGAAACATCAGGCAACACAGTCCTGTAGAACCAGAACCAGAGCATTAACCTTCCAGGGACTTCATATTAGATCTGTCTCAGGAGAGGTTACATCCCTTTTTTCCCCTACCCTGGTCCCCCCAAACACATGGGAGAAGGACTCTTATTGGTTTATTTCAGGACGTGTCACTAGGCCCATGGGGAGACGTGTGTGCTTGTGAGCAGAGTTCAGGCTGGATCAGGTAAGTTACAGGAGAGTATATAGTGAAGATGGTCCTTTTTGAGGCTTTCTGTCATGGCATGAGACGGAACCAGAAGCCCACTGTAATTCCCGACCCAGTGAGTTTTTGCAGTGAGTGTTCCAAAGGCATGGGGTCTTTAGGACTCGGACTGCCCAGAAGCTGGGACTTTAGGGAGGGCCACTTGAAGAGGGTCTCCTGAGCTAGCTCTTCCTCTGCTTTGCAGTTTGGTGCAGCGGGGCAGGCTGGAAAGTGAGGGGAACGTGGCCCCGGTGCGGGTCAGCGAGAAGCTCCATCTGCAGGTGTACCAGGTCGTACTGCCTGGCTCTGAGTTGCTGCTGTGGCCCCAGCCTCCCTCTGAGGGCCTGAGCCCCATCCAGCCCAGGCTAGAAGAAGAGGTAGCCATGGCTGTGGTGACAGAAGCGGACTCTGCTGTCCAACGGGAGGTGGACTCCCCAGGGCAAGATGCAGCAGAACCTTGGGCAGGTATGTGGCAAACAGATGCTATCTTCCCCAATTATCACCAGAACAACCTGTTGATAAGACAGAGCAAAGCTGCGGCTCACAGAGATAAAGGAGAACATTACAGTCTTAGTAGGTTTTCTGAGGGGAAAGGGGAAGCCTGAATATTTATTGAAATTTTGAAGTCTGGTATAAGGTGGGTCTTCCAGTGTGGAATGGGGGCGGGGCTTGATCGGGATTGAATAAGGATCATGACATAATTGTTTAGTATCCATGGACCCCCAGGCTAGAATTTTCAGGCAAGAGGCTCAAAGAGTCATGGGAGTATAACCTGTCATTTGATGCTTTCTGTTGCAGAGTGATGGGTCTTTTCCTTAGAATGAACAGTATTGGTATTTATTTTCCTGAGTAAGTTTTCTGGAATAGTAGGGTCATGTTGATGAAGACAGCAAGCTGTGTATAAGGTTTCCAATTTCTTATGTTTCTTCTACCTGGGTTGGGGGTGGAGGTTCCTTTATTTTCAGATGAGATAAGGTGAGGAGGTGGGGGCCTAATTCATCATAAGTGTGTGTCTCCAGAGGGAGAATAGGGGCCTCTGATAATAGCCTTCTCTGTGATCGTCCGGAGGTTTGGAGAGCCATGGTTCCCAAGAGTGCTTCCCCAGGAGGCACCTGAGACCAGACATGAAGATAAGCTGAGCATGTGGTTCATGTTCCAAGGAAGAGATCGGTGTTCTTGGCCCTGCTGAAGTTCAGGGGCTGAGTAGGAAGAGACACATATTCTTATAATTTCCTGGTGACAACACTGCTACCACCTGCTACAGTTTTTCCTAACCCCAGCACCCCACTCTTGCCTTGCAGATCCTGGTCACCAGTCACCAACCCCCAGCATCCAGGCAGAGAGTATGGTAAGCCCTGGACTTAAGCCCCAAACCCAGGATCAACTTTCCAAGGAGAGCCAACCACTCGGCCTGCCCCCTCAGGATGGCAGCATGGAGGAGGAGGACCCACCCCAGACACAGGTGCCACCTGAACCTCCGAGCAGCTCTGCTCCCCAGCAGGGCTCAGAGAGCAGTGAGGCCGGTTGCTCACCTTCTGCCAGGGGCAACCAGCTGCATGCTTACCTGGTCAAGAAGATACATAGCCCCAGTGGTCAGTGCCCACCCAGAGAAAAGACCTCGGAGCCCAGGGCCCAGCAGGCTGGAGAACAGCAGGGGCCAGCAGGCTTCCCTGCACGCTTGCGGAGCCCTGCTGGCCCAGCAGGAAGCTCCCCGAAACAGAGGCGGCGGTACCGGTGTGGGGAGTGTGGCAAGGCCTTCCTGCAGCTGTGCCACCTGAAGAAGCACGCGTTTGTGCACACAGGCCACAAACCCTTCCTTTGCACTGAGTGTGGCAAGAGCTATAGCTCAGAGGAGAGCTTCAAAGCCCACATGCTGGGCCACCGTGGGGTGCGGCCCTTTCCTTGCCCACAGTGCGACAAGGCCTATGGCACCCGGCGAGACCTCAAAGAGCACCAGGTGGTACATTCAGGTGCCAGGCCCTTTGCATGTGACCAGTGTGGCAAGGCCTTTGCCCGCCGGCCCTCCCTGCGGTTGCATCGCAAGACCCACCAGGTGCCAGCTACCCCTGCCCCATGCCCATGCCCCGTGTGTGGGCGGCCCCTGGCCAACCAGGGCTCCCTGCGGAACCACATGCGGCTCCACACGGGGGAAAAGCCCTTTCTGTGCCCGCACTGTGGCCGGGCGTTCCGCCAGCGGGGCAACCTGCGTGGGCACTTGCGGCTGCACACAGGGGAGCGGCCTTACCGCTGCCCGCACTGCACTGACGCCTTTCCCCAGCTGCCTGAGCTGCGGCGCCATCTTATCTCGCACACTGGGGAGGCCTACTTGTGTCCCGTGTGCGGGAAGGCCCTTCGAGACCCACATACACTGCGTGCTCATGAGCGTCTGCACTCAGGGGAGAGGCCCTTCTCATGCCCCCAGTGTGGCCGGGCTTACACACTGGCTACCAAGCTGAGGCGCCACCTCAAATCCCACCTGACCGACAAGCCCTACCGCTGTCCCACCTGTGGCATGGGCTACACCCTCCCGCAAAGCCTCAAGCGGCACCAGCTCAGTCACCAGTCTCCCGCTGCTTCTGAGCCCACTGTGGTACTGTTGCAGACCGAGCCAGAACTAGACACCTGCGGGGAACGGGACATCTCCCCAGCCCGGGACGTCTTTGAGGTCACCATTTCTGAGAGCCAGGATAAGTGCTTTGTGGTACCTGAGGAACCAGGCCCCACTTCCAGCCTGGTGCTCATCCATAAGGATATGGCCTTTGGTGCCTGGGCAGAAGTGGTGGAGGTAGAGATGGGCACCTGACCACCCCCCCCCAGGGGAGTTCTATATAAAGCTAGTGTTTTCTAGCTGCTGGGTGTCTGCGTCTTTCTCTTTGGGTTGCCTGATGGAGGCTACTCTGAGAAGCAGATCAAGGATTTCCCTTCCTGTTTATGGACCACCACATTGTTTCCCAAGACTGTAAGAAAAACCTGTTCCAGGTTTAAGAACTTCTTACTGACTTCCTGTAGAGCTTGTTCTGCTTTCTTCTCCAGGAACTCCTCAAGGTGCTCGTTCTTTAAATGTGATGGAAGTGCCCCCCCCCCCTCGCCTCAGGTAGTCCTGGAGCTGCCCTGCTGGGGTGCTTAGTGCTGGCATCATCATTCCCACTGAGCCCCCTGAGGGACAAGCACTTCCATCTTG